ACACAGAAGAGATTGGATTTATACCCCGCCCTTCACTCAGTCCCAGAGCGGCTTACAAACTCCTTTCCCTTCCCCTCCCCACAGCAGACACCCTGTGAGGTAGGTGGAGCTGAGAGAGCTCTGACAAAAACTGCTCTTTTTCAAGAACAGCTGTGCCAGAACTATGGCTTGCCCAAGGTCATCCAGCAGCTGCAAGTGGAGGAGTCAAACCCGGTTTTCCCAGATTAGAGTCAGCGCATTTAACCACTACACCAAACTGGCAGATAAGCAGATGAATACAGAGTTGAGTGGGATTGCTTCATTGCTAGTACGTTGCTAATACAGTGAAGTGGTGTAAAGATCAAAATGCTAAAGTTAATTATGCTGGACATTTGCTACACCCTGAAATATAAACTACGAACATAATTATGTAGCAGTAAGAGACATGAAATTATCCACTCTACAGGCATAGAAGTTGTATTTTTCAGCTGACTGAAGGAAAGAGTTTAACTTGTCTCGTTTGAGTGGGAGATTTTTTTTTCATTTGTAGCTCAGATGTTCTTAATTCTAATAGCAACAGGGTTGTATGTGTACGTAGCTAGCAAATGTTGAAAGGAGTTTGTGTGCTTACATGTAGGAAAATGTTAACTTGTCTTAACTATAAACAAACCCACAGTATTAATAGAAGATTCTAAAAGGCTTTCAATATGGCTTGCTGGATTACTAACAATTTGTGTTTTGAAATATGACAAACTACCAATCAAAAACTAATCTTGACCTTTCCTTTAAAAAGTGCTGTACTAAATTCAATAATGAAATTTTCAGCCATGTTTGAAATTGGCCCTTTTAGACTTGTACGTGCCTGATGTGGGGCTGTGTTCTGTCTTATTCAGGGTGAACTATAAGTCCTGCAAACCCAGTTTTAAATTCTCCCTTCATAGGGCCTCTTATTATGAAATATCAGTTGATGATGGTCCATGGGAGAAACAGAAGAGCTCAGGTCTCAACATATGCACTGGAACTGGATCAAAAGCCTGGTAGGTTGGTGTGCTGCTATTGCGTCAATTATGGGTTTAGCTTAAGAACATAAGAGACGCCAATGTTGGATCAGGCCAAAGGCCCATTCAGTCCAACACTCTGTCACACAGCGGCCAAAAATACCAGGTGCCATCAGGAGGTCCACCAGTGGGGCCAGGACATTCGAAGCCCTCCCGCTGTTGCCCCCCCCCAAGCACCAAGAAGACAGAGCATCACTTGCCCCAGAGTCCCTATCTATACCTTGTGGCTAATAGCCACTGATGGACCTCTGCTCCATATGCTTATCTAATTCCCTTTTGAAGCCGTCCATGCTTGTAGCCGCCACCACTTCCTGTGGCAGTGAATTCCAAGTGTTTATCACTCTTTGGGTGAAGAAGTACTTCCTTTTATCCGTTATTCAGAATCTCCATCAGGAATAAGTAACACATTAACATAAAATATAAAACTCTCTATTGCAGTACAGACTGAACATTTGAAGGATCTAAGAGAGAATCAAATCCATTGAGTAGTGTTCGGCTTGTACATGCCCTGCAGGGCTTTTTATTATCCTGTCAATGCCAAACTGGAGGCAGTCTTGGAAATTATTTACAATTTAAAGAGCAGTTTGTGCGATTGTGGTGGGTCAGCTGTTGTGTTGAAGAAATACAGCACAGATGAATTGAAATAAAGATCTTCATGGGTGTGCCAAACCAGTTGCTCAGTACTGGATGGATCACTCTTTGGGTGAAGAAGTACTTCCTTTTATCCGTTATTCAGAATCTCCATCAGGAATAAGTAACACATTAACATAAAATATAAAACTCTCTATTGCAGTTACAGACTGAACATTTGAAGGATCTGAGAGAGAATCAAATCCATTGAGTAGTGTTTGGCTTGTACATGCCCTCCAGGGCTTTTTATTAGCCTGTCAATGCCAAACTGGAGGCAGTCTTGGAAATTATTTACAATTTAAAGAGCAGTTTGTGCGATTGTGGTGGGTCAGCTGTTGTGTTGAAGAAATACAGCACAGATGAATTGAAATAAAGATCTTCATGGGTGTGCCAAACCAGTTGCTCAGTACTGGATTGTCGTCTTTGGGATGGTTCAGATTTAACAGCAAACCTGTGAACAAGCCTTGTGTTTGCATGACTTTCAATTTAATTTGCTGTATCAGAAGTTATCGGCAAACACCAACTCTGGATTGAAAATTATGTAAGGAAGTGCAAAGGCAAGCTGTGGTTTATACTAACTTGGAAGTCACTAATAAACGGAATTCATACAAGGTACATTTGCATTGTGCAGGGAACATGATGTATGTTCTAAGAGTAGTCCCATCAGAGATCTTAATGCTTAAGCTGCGTGTTACATTGGGTTAGTTATAGTTTATTGAGCCTTAAACTAATATTAAAATGTTATAACCAGTTGGCTTAAATTCTGTTGGGTTGTGAAATATTTACTTTAAGGCTTTTTTGGGCTAAATATTGGCTCCCAACGTTTTCTTATCTATACTAAATTGTAATCAAGATACAGCTGGGGCAAAGCTGAATGGATTCAGGTGCAATGGAGACCCCTGGTGGTAGCCTCTGGCCCCAACTTCAGCAATGCCAGTATCAGCTTTGGGGATTCTAAATTGGTGAAACCAGGCATTTAGTCATATTTGCTTAATTTCTGTTTTTAGGTCTTTTAATATCAACAAGGTAGCAAATCAGGCTGTGGAAGAAATCCTTAAGATTGGTGAGTTACCACTGGCACACCTGTTAAGTAGCAGTGCAGAAGATAATGACATCTAATTGAGACTCTTCTTCCTTTGGTTCAATAGCTAAAAAGTACGAGAGCTTAAATCTTCCATTGAACAAGGAACTAATACAAAAAGGTTAGTATTATTCGTAGTCTCATTGGCATGTCTGAAGTACTAGTAATTTATGGGTTTCTGAAGGCGTGTCTCACATGCTGTGCAGTGCTTTCTGAAGAAATAAATGCTTGCATAAGTAGAAACTTACTGATTTGTAGAAATTTACATCTAACTTTTGTACTTCCAGTGACAGATGAATATAATGAATCACTGCTGTATGATCCAGAGGAACCCAAGATGTTTTTCAGCATACGAGAGCCTATTTCAAATCGTGTTTTTTCAAGTAGTCGGCAGCGGGGGTTTGCTTCAAAGTAAGTATTGGCTGCTGGTGTTTGGCCTTGGATTAGTTAGGAATCTTCTGTAGGTTTTAGATTTTCCCATATAATAGTCTTAAAGACATATTTGTTTGACTGCTGGTACTATGTAAGCTAAATAGCATCACTACACATGGTGTGTGTGTGTGTGTTGTGGGGGTGTCACACTGTAGGACTGAAATGTAGACCTTTGGTCAATGTCTTTCAAAACTGCTCTTAAGGTGTATGGCTGTTAATGATAGGACACATTCGCAGTCATTCGTAGTCGGAAGTGACTTGATGGCACTTAACATGAAGATAACCTTTTCTGTACACTTACAAAACAAGAGGTCTTCAGTGTACATCTAAAAGTACAAAATACAAGCACAGTAAACTGGGGTCGGCTGTGCTGTTATCAGAACTGTTGTCACCTGCCTATGAGAACAGAACAGAAATTCTCCAGCTCAGAATCTTTGAGGGGAAGGGCTGTAATTTACCATACCAATTTTTCTTCTGCTCTTTTACTTGGTCTGAAAGTGTTCACTTGGCAGCTGTCTGTAGTTTCATTTTAAATGTATTTGCAGGGTGTGTGTCCGCTCTCGTTGTTGGGATGCCTGTATGGTTGTAGATGGAGGAACTTCTTTTGAGTTTAATGACGGAGCAATAGCATCTATATTGATCAATACAGATGATGCACTGTGTACTGTTCTGCTGCAAGAATGAAGTGCATTGGAAGCATTCAAGCCTCGGAATGCACAGAAGGAATGCCTGGACAACAAATTGGAATGCTGCAATTGTTTCAGATGCGGAACTTGTTTTTCTCTGTAGGCAGCCACTTAAGAAACAAAGATTGAAATAGCTCATTTCTTTGGAGGAGAAATTCTTGTGAAACTGGTGTTTGTCATTTATTGCATCTGATAACATGAAACTTACTTGACAGGCTTCAGATACAAGCCTTCTATTGTGACTTTCAAAACAAATCTTAATGTGACAGACACTTTCAAAACTAAGGAGTTCAAAGTAGTATTAATAATTTGTATATTTTTGTGGTAGTTTGACAAATTCAGCAAAATATCAATTTGTTTTCTAGGAGCAAATGCTGTCAAAGCTTATGAACTTGAAGGTAAAAGTTAGGTTAATGATGTTGGGATTTGTTTACTCAACAAATTAAAATAATCTTGGGATTTGTTTACTCAACAAATTAAAATCTGTTGGTACTAATACTTTTTACCTTTCTAATATTTGTAACAGTACTTAGTAGAAGCATCAGTCTCAAATCCACACTAAAAATTATAGAAGCATATTGGGACTAGAAGATTTCTCTTGCGCTGTCCCATTTGCTTGAGCCCTGTGCTGCTCATGTTTACCTGTTACAGCTAGAGGAACTTAATCGTGATCATCTTTCTAATCAATTTTAAAACCAATTTTTAGTACTAGTCTAAATTGATTTTTGAAAAAGCCCCTCTGTACATTTCCCAGAAACTGTGGTATATAGTAATTTTAGGCAAAAGTTACATCCTTCAGATCTGGAGCTTAGTTTTCTTAAGTAATGAAAATAAATACCATTCCTTGTAAATTTCAAATTGTTAGGAGCACATGTTGTGTTAGATGTGTGCAACATAAAACTCATTTGTGTTAAATGAGCATATAGTTAGTCTCCCTGAACATCATGTATTTTGGAATTATGTTTTATGTAAAGCAAATGCCACATAGTCAGAATTCCTGCTTGCCATATCAGTAATGGACAACAACCCATAGAACTATGACCATAGCCAATGACTTGCTACCCTTATTTATTAAATTAGGTGTATGGCTTTTTTTGTGCAAATAGTGATTGATACTGTGTTTAACACTAGAGAACTTGCAAGGTTTTTCATCAACACCCAGTTAAATCACTGCCAAATACACTGTGTTTACATTTGAAACAATAATGAACCTTGTTAGTCCAGTAAATGAGTGCTTATTAAAGAGTCCTTAATATTCAGCCCCAGAAACATTAACACAGTTTAGAAGCAGTTTTGAAATAATTGTGCAAAATGTGCTTTAAGGCTGAGGGTAAGCTTTTCATGGTGGTGGAGAAATAACAAAGCTATTAAATTGAAATACAGACTTCTGGCTCTTTAAACTGTATCGTAAAAGCTCCAAATTAAACACTGTATGCTGCAAAACAGCATTTTGGTTGAAATGATGAGCTGTTAAGTCTGCTATGTTGAAGTCAGTGAGACTTGCTTCTGAGTAAAGGTGCTTGGGATCAGGGAGCATAAACATGTTTTGTAAATTAAGAAAGCTGTGAAATAGGCTATACTGGCTTATGATTTTTGTTTTCAATCTAAACTGCTGTTTGAATATTGAATAGCTATATTTCATATAGCTACCATAGCTATTGAGCAAAAGTCCTCTAAGCACAGCCCATTGCATTGTGACTAAAGCTCTTACATGTGAACAACCCCACTCCCTGTTTCTCTAGCTGTTAAGTCTGCTATGTTGAAGTCAGTGGGACTTGCTTCTGAGTAAAGGTGCTTGGGATCAGGGAGCATAAACATGTTTTGTAAATTAAGAAAGCTGTGAAATAGGCTATACTGGCTTATGATTTTTGTTTTCAATCTAAACTGCTGTTTGAATATTGAATAGCTATATTTCATATAGCTACCATAGCTATTGAGCAAAAGTCCTCTAAGCACAGCCCATTGCATTGTGACTAAAGCTCTTACATGTGAACAACCCCACTCCCTGTTTCTCTTCCTTCCCTACCACACAGGCACAGACTTCCCATTCCCACTGTCCTCCTATGCAACCTTGTCTATGCTGGGGTGGGGGGAAGGTCTGTGTTGGGGCCCATTATGTTGAATGGCCACTGTGGTGAGTAGGTGATAATGTCCTTTGAAATGAGCCATTTTTGGCTGTGCCAAAACCATGAATGGTTAAAAAAGAAGACAATGCACATTTATCTTACAGAGTTTGGAATAATGGCTTTTCAAGACAAAGGTACAGATTAATCCTCCCTCCAAATGACTGGTTGGTGGGAGATGTGTATGAAGATTTGCACAGGCCCACTATCCTATGTTTGAAGAGTTCTTGGACCACCAACTAATGTTATAGTTTATACCTACATTTAATGGTAGCTTTCTGTGTGGGAACTAAATACAGGGAAAAGTGAGCCTTGTTAGTATGAAAGCTGTGGACAAATCTTTAATTACAATTACTGAGCTAAAAAGTTGACAAAGCAATTCTGAAATGTGCACAAATAGAGGTAATTTAATCAGCTGTGTAGCTGAAATGATCTCCTTTCATTCGCAATTGCTTAATTCCAGCATCTCTGTTTCTATTAACTTTCAATCTGGGCTCCAGATTCTATTAAAATAAAGACATTGATTTGGTTTAATAAGAAATGTATGCTGTACTTGATAAGTAATAAAGGTATTAGTGTTTTTTTGAAAATACTTTGTCTTTCAGCTATTTAAGGTAGACGTCAGTATCTCAGTGGTATTTTGGTTAGCAGGAAGCATTTTCTAGAACTTAGTATTTTTTCTTTCTTTATAAGTATGCCTTTGTGCTTATGTAATATAAATTCTGTATCTAATAGCATGACCTCTATTGTTAGAAATTTAGTTTTGTACTTCAAATAGTTATATTTGGCAGAGCCATAAAATAAGAAAAGCACCTGGTTTTCATCTTTTAGTATAGTACAAGAAGTTCAAGTATTGCTAGGAGGCACATTGTTTATCAACAAAACTAGAGAGGAGGGGGGAACTGGGTGTAGCTCAAGCGTGTACTTTTGTTTCTGTGAGCAGAAACATTTGTTCTAGGCGAATGGGTCTTGATCTCATTTTAAACTCTGGGTGACAAACACAGTATAGAACAAGCCCCAGTCACTATAGCAGCTAAGCAGGATTGTTCTGTATATCCCAGGACACGAACACACACCCCAGTATACAAAAGTGACCCTCAAAGTGGGCAAAATCTCCCACTGGTTTGCTGCATCGAAGATACATTATCTCTCAGTCCTCACACTCTGCAAAGTGACTGATTTTACTGGGAATGAATTTCCCAGTGTCATTGTTTAAAGAGGCAGGTTCCCCCTTTAAAGCTCAATACTTTAAGTTAGAAGAGTTGGGTTTTGCCCCCCACTTTTCGCTACCCAAAGGAGTCTCAGAGCAGCTTACAATCACCGTCCCTTCCTCTCCCCACAACAGACACCCTGTGAGGTAGGTGGGGCTGAGAGAGCTGTGACTGACCCAAGGTCACCCAGCTGGCTCCATGTGGAGGAGTGAGGAATTAAACCCAGTTCTCCAGATTAGAGTCCACTGCTCTTACCACACCAAACTGACTACTTAGTAACAGTCCACAAAATTGTTGTGGTCCCCGCTTATATCAACATTTTTTAAAAATGGTACTACAGAGAGGAGGATGGAGAATATTTGAAGAGACATTGTGTACCTGATTCTTTGCAAGAGGGGTAGAAGAGAAGAAGAAGAAGAGATTGGATTTATACCCCGCCCTTCACTTGGGAGTCTCAGAGCGGCTTACAAACTCCTTTCCCTTCCCCTCCCCACAACAGACACCCTGTGAGGTAGGCGTGGCTGAGAGAGCTGTGACTGACCCAAGGTCACATCAGCAGGTGCAAGTGGAGGAGTGGGGAATCAAACCCGGCTCTCCCAGATTAGAGTCCGCACACTTAACCACTACATCAAACTGGGTAGAAGAAGTTATGCTCTGGCTCCTGTCAATACCAGTAGAAATCTTTTAAAAGGATTCTTTAGGATTAGTGTCATTTCTCAGCTGCAAGAGTGAGAATCCACAATTTATTATAGAACCACCATAATACTGTGAGCAGGTACTGGGTCCAATGAGTAAAAGGAATATCTGACTAGGCAGCTGAAACTGATATATAAAAACATGGAGACTTTAATTTTTTAAAAAGTTATACTATAAGAATCAGTATCTAAAAAGAGTTTCCAGGGGCAGGGTTTGCCTGTTGCCTTATTTTACCAGGTATTTTTACACACATAGCATGTCTGACAGATTTCAACTGTAATAAAAAATACATCTGAAATTAATGGTTTGATAAATTACTGAAAATAGCTTGCTTGCACATAAAGCATGGAAATCAATGGGATTAAGTCAAAGTAGTTGGGGACTGCGTGACAAGTTACGAAGTAAAGCAAAACAGACCCAACTTTTCAAGAACTCCATAGTCCGGGGCTTTGAAGAACTGACGCATCGTTTGCTGGCTCCTGGAGGCCTTAGGTGCTACATTAAAAAACAGCTGGATTTCTTAAACTCAGTCTGCACTTGATTCCCCACATTTCTTGGTTCTTTTTATAGCCAGTGGTGGGCCTTGCAATAGTTGTAAAATGGGAAAAGTTGAACTTTATATGAGGAAGTGTTGCCTTTAGGAGCAGGTGAGAAGGGGCAGTCACTATTCCAAAAACCTGGAGTGTTTTGAGTGTAGCAATTTCACCAAGTTCACTAGAATGGGGGAGAGAGAGAAAAAAATGCAGTGAACACAGTGATGACTGCAAACTGAGTATTTCCCATCCACTGGGAATACAAGGAAGCAAAACCCACCACGAGGCTAGCATGCAGGAGAGGTCAAGGAGAACAGGAACTCTTTGAAATGAGAAAATAAAGCCATAAAGAGAAACAAGTAAGAGGGCAGAGAAAATCATCCTCTGAAAGGGTGGTGGAGACACGTACAACACTCATGAGGAGCACTAGATCCTGTTCTTCCACATGAAGATCCAGGTGTTTCTATGACATATAACATAGTGGATTAACCTCTATTCTCACAGCTCAAGCACACAGCAAAGCATTTCTATCTAATCTCACAGCTGTTTGAAAACACAAACAGAGCAAATGAGAATTTCGGGTATCAACGTGTTCGCTCCATTTGGTAGACAATTATAGAAACCCACGTCATAGTACTTGTAATGTTAATCACCATGAACTGGCTCAGAAGCTACTTGCATTCACTCTGAAATGCATTCAGTAATTGTTCAGATCGGCTTTAAGAACAGCAGATGATTACTCACAGTAGGGCTGCAGGAGGTATCTGGTAGCATCGACTAAGAGACAAATGCTCTAGGTAAGTGAGCTGGCAGAAGTACTGAAGGCATTCAGGTTTCAACATAACGCTATCGCTGCAAAAGAAATATCTGATTTAATGGTATCCATATATTTAAATTCTATAGACAGACCAGTGAACAAAGAGAAAAGGTAGCATAAACCTAGTTCTAAACCACCACCACCAAAGTACATTTATCAAACTTCACACACAGCACAGCAACTGATAAGATTCCTCTTCATTTGCCTATGTAGACGGTGAGTTTTGTGCTTTAATGAAGGGAATTAATCATTAAAAGCAATCCCCATTTGGTTAAAGAACTTGGTCAGAATATACCTTATGCATAAACATTTCTAGATGTAAAATCCCCATTAAACATGCTAAATAACTTGGTTCTGTTAAAATTAGTTGTGTACTGCTATGCTGGTCTTTGCCCTAATTTCTGAGAGAAGCTAGAAATAGGCTTTGGTATTAAGGAGAAGCAAGAAAACAGTTGCTTAGGTCTGAGCAGGACTTATTTTCCCTGCCTACTTGAAACTCTTGCCTTTAAGCTGCCCTGCTTAACAGAACCGTCTAGCACAGAAAAGAAGAAACAGCAGCTAGAATTCATTTTTGTTTCCTTCCTCCTTGTACCACTAGTGGCTTCCCCAGTTATCCTGTTAACAGGGCAAAAGGTCTATTTTTCCACACCTGAAGTACACAAAGAGCTTTAACACAAGTGGAACAATAGATTGTTACTGTTTTCTGAATTGAAGCAGAGAGCTAATTCTCTTTATTGCCAGCATCCAAATAAAGTCACTGGAAGTGATGTGGGATTGGCATGCCGGACTCTCAAGTCCAACTGTTTTAGTTACTGCGTCTGCTATACGGCTGGGAATTCAAGGGTCAGAGTATGATCTTTTCCTCTAAGGAGACAGATCAGCTGCTAAAGGGAAATGCATCTGTTATACTTGACTAACGGACTATTAGTGCAAGCCTGCAAAAACATGGCCTTCCCAGGAAAAAGGATCGGTGTGATTTTTGCTTTCCCTAACTCTATGATTTTTTCCTCTGCACCATTATATGAGGGCCTGCAGATGCACTCTCACAAAGTATGCCAGCTGCAATCTGGGATACAGCTGAAAGCAGGATAAAACCTCTCTCCAGTCAAGTCATCATGTCAGATGTGGCTCTGCACTATACAAGCACACGTTCCACCAGCATTTTGCTAGTTCAGATAGGATTAGTTTGTGACTATGCAAGAGAAAGCAACAACTCTTGGCTCTGCTCGATTGTAAAAATCCCTTATTTTCAACTATGATTGGTGCAATACTGTACTGGAATCTTCCCCTGTACTAGGCCATGGGGTCGCGAAGAGTCGGACTCGACTGTGCGACTGAACAACAACAACAACGCCAGAACCTGTAGTCTACTGCAAAGGTCCCCAACCTTTTGGAGCCTGTGAGCAGCTTTAGAGTTCAGACATAGGATGGTGGGTGAAACCACATAATGGCCACCAAACGAGGCAAAGCCACACACAGGAAAAGCCCCACTGCAAGGGACAAGAGGAGCAACTTTTTGGAAATACTCTGGGGAAAAGTAAGGGGATCAAACCAGCACTGTGGTGCCAGCTGCTACTGAAACAAGGTTATCTGGATCTTCACAGCTAGTCAAATCTCCAGTGGCCAATCAAGCCCTGCTGGGCAGGAGACACCCCCCCCAGCACTTTGTGGGCACCAGGAAATGTGTTGGTGGGAGCCACGTTGGGGATGCCTGATCTCCTGCCTTGAAAGAGCAAGTGGGACCAAGCATTTATATCTCCTGGTGCTCTGGCCAATATTTGAAACATGTTGCTTTTTTCTGGAAGTTGCATTACTGGTTTTTATTTACTCCTCAGCAGGTTCCCAACAACAAGACACATTTCAGTAAGATTCAAATTCTCTTACCTTAAATCTAAATGTACTAGATTGCGACACCTCTCTAGTAATGTTTTAACATCTGAAACAAGAAGGCAAGGTCAGTAAGCCAGCCACACACATCAATAAGGGCTATAAGCTTCTCACAAGAAATACAGAAATGTCAGGAAATGACTCAGCTGAACACAAACCCACCTCCATTTAGTCATTTTTAGTATTAAGTTAAGCCTTCCTTTGGGCCACATTCTTCAATTTAAAATAGTTTGTTGTGCTCAGGAAGTATAGATTTCCTACAACTTCACTTCCAGTATGATTACCAGAAGACACTGAGATGGGATTACTTGATTTACAATGCAATTTATGCATACTTCCTTGGAAGCTGCACTGAGTTTAATGAAGCTTTACTCTCAAGTAAATGTGCATGCAACTACAGCCTTAAACAGATCCTAGTCCAGCACTTAAACAGATCCTAGTCCAACACCACACCACACTGGCGCTACACTGTTGCATGACTGCAGCTGGGGCAAACTTGTACACGCATCTCTCCTGCCTGCAAAGTACTTTAGATAAGTTTCTCAAAAGCTGGGTGAGGCAGTGTTGTAGCAGAGACTGCAATGCAAAATGTAATCCCAGAAATGCAAGTGGTTCTGAACCCCTCCCCCAACCCCAAATTTGGAGCAGCTTTTCATTCCCACAAGTCAATGCAGTCACTCCATGATGGGTGGCAGGTTACTTGAGCTAGATATTTCAAGCCAAAACGTGCTTCTCACCTGACATCAGTAAATTCTGTCTGTATCCACTAAGGTTTAGCTGTAGGACAGTGGAAGGAATATGGCTGACCGCTGTTCTTACATGATCGACAGTAAAGTCGCACCAAGCCAAATTCAGCTCTTCAAGCCTATGCGCCAGTTGAAAACAAAATTCATTATAAAAATCCAAACATTCCATTTGACAACCATTTAAAACAGAAATAACAGCTATGACATTCCTCTAGCTATCCCCAGTGTCAAAGCCTAACTTACCCTAATTGTACTGAAGTGGTTTGTATCGACTCATGTGTGGAGTGTTCATGGGCAGAAAAGTGACCTAATTGTCCTAGTCAAGTACTAACCAGATTAAGTGTCCAAGTTAACATCTCATTAGCAAGCAGTCATGCTCAAATGTACCAACTAATATATACTGCATGGGTCTGCAGAGATCCTGACCAAACACCTGGAGAACATGGGATGGATCAGGGCCAATAAAGTGAACAGTGGGATGGATTGGTTTCCATTTTCATACCAATGACTTAAACATCAGCTAGGATCCTAACTAGCATTTGCATGAATACAGAAAATAAAGCTGTATGCACTTCACATGCATGCATCTATGACTTGCGGTTAAAACTTCTGCCATTGAATCCAGCAGTGCATCCATGCTATAGAATCACAGAGTTGGAAGGGACCTCCAGGGTCATCTAGTCCAACCCCCACACAAGGCAGGAAATTCACAAATACCTAACCCCCCAGTGACCCCGTTTCCATGCCCAGAAGATGGCAAAACACTTCCAGGGATCCCTGGCCAAACTGGCCTGGAGAAAAATTGCTTCCTGGTCCCCAAAGTGGTGATCAGCATTTCCCTGGGCATGTTAAGAAAGGACCCCAAGAACTAAGCACTGCTGCAACCCTCCCTGCCCTTCCTCGCATGATCTGCCCAAGTTCACAGGATCAGCAGATGTCCATCTAGCCTCTGTTTGAAAACCTCCAAAGGAGGAGAGCCCACCACCTCCCAAGGAATTCTGTAGAGAATCCAGAACATCCAGAGAGGTTTAATCGCAGCAAACTGGGGTTCTGTGCTATTTTTCTGAAAGTGAAAACAAACATTGCACATTAACCTGTGTGATCATACATGAATGCCATCCTTAGCAGAGTTCACACCCTTCTAAATCCACTGAAGTCAATGGGCTTATCTGCTTAGGAAGGCACAGTTAAGTTTCCATGCCAGCATCAGTGACCCTGATGGGTCTTGCTCTACACACACACACAATCAAATATGGAAGGCCTTCGTTCTGTAGAGAATCCAGAACATCCAGAGAGGTTTAATCGCAGCAAACTGGGGTTCTGTGCTATTTTTCTGAAAGTGAAAACAAACATTGCACATTAACCTGTGTGATCATACATGAATGCCATCCTTAGCAGAGTTCACACCCTTCTAAATCCACTGAAGTCAATGGGCTTATCTGCTTAGGAAGGCACAGTTAAGCTTCCATGCCAGCATCAGTGACCCTGAAGGAGAGCTGGGGACTTGCTCTACACGCACACACAATCAAATATGGAAGGCCTTCGAAAAACCTACTCAAGGTAGGTGGAATTTTTAGGTGGCAACTACCCTGCCACAATAGCAGACTACTGAAAGGGCATTCAAGCATCAGGCTAAGAGATCAATGACATTAAGGTATAAGCCAGCTTCATAACTAGATATGCAAAAATGCAGAGCCATTTAAATAACTAACTGCATCATGACTGGCAGTGTAATAATTCATTGATTAAACTACAGTGCTGTTGACGGTGCTTTTGTGGACACGTTTCCACTGGGAAAGCATCGTGCCTTTTGCAGACACAGCTGTTAATAGCCGTAGCCCTCTACTACTTCAAACATTTGCATTCCGCCTTTCCCCCGAAGGAACTAGTGCCGTTCCCAAAAGTATGAGAGCATCGGTAAGACAATGAACCCACTGAACAAGACCACAAATTTGAAGAATTAAATATGTGGCAAGCGTAAAAACACCCATTCCTTTAAAAAGTCCAACAGCGGTAACATTGGCAGTGCCCTCCAAAGATGCCTTACATTTTTTCCCTAAAAACAGGAGAAGATGGAGCCTGGCTAAGGCGAAGAATGTGTGGGCGGGAATTTGCTCCAAGAGCCTTGCTGCTGTAATTCTGAAAAATAGGCTGATTATCCAGAGTATGGTAAAAGTTTTATGAATCCAGTGGCTGGATCCCTTGCTCATCAGTTTATTCTGAGTCACATCTTTAGGGCTCGATACGTTCTGCTGCCACTGCTTTTTATGGAGCTGTACCACTGTTCGTTATAATGATGCTATTTTTGTGTGTGTTTATTGTAATCTCTTTTAGACATGCTGCCTTGAGTGCTTTAAAAGCAGAAAGGGAATCAAACCCGGTTCTCTCAGATTAGAGTCTGCGCTCCTAGCAACTACACCAAACTGGCTCTCCCCTCCCCATTTTAGTCTCAAAACAACCCTGAGAGTGACCGGTTCAAAGTCACCTAGTGATCTTCATGGCAGTGTAAGGATTTGAATTCAAGTCTTTCCAGTTGTAGTTCAACCCGTCACCACAGCACATCTCTTCTAAAATGCTGCCTGCCATTAACGCTTCCTTTCCCTCCAATGTTTCTATTCAAACCAATTAACTATTTTTTTCAAAAAAACCCACCTATGTTACCTTCAGGATCACTGCTTCGTTTCTGAACAGTAGCGGAAAGGTGGAACACAAATATTTTTAATAAATCGTTAACCTAAAGCTTTATAGCGAATTAACCCAACCAACTGATAAACCCTGTAGCTCTAATTTGTTATTAAAAAATAGATCCCATGGATTGTGGGTAAAACTCTTGTAAAAGATTAGCCTTCTTTCCAATGTCAGGTATGTCAACTTTTGCAATGTCTCAGAAGCCCCAATTTAACAAGGGCTGCTCATCCAGAAATTGTTCCTTTCACAGCAATGCTTTGCTCACTCACCTAACTATGTCACTGGAAAGTTTGAGCCCTTCCAAGCTGAGATTCTGTAGGCTCTGACACCGATCAAGAATGCTCTGGAGGTCTCCAACTTGGATTGTACAACTGGACAGATCCATGTGTTGCACATGAAGAAGTCTGAAAACAGGCCAAACAAAATTATGAAAGACAAAAACAATGAGCAGAATATGACCTTTTAAAAAAGTTTCCGTATCAGCCAAGCAACCCAGCTTAGTTCTGAGTCATTCAAGAACAGGATGCACCTGTGAGATCTATGAACATGCTAAGCTGCTTCAAACATACTTCTAAAAAAGAAACTAGTCAAGCTTGTCACATCTTGGCAATTAAGCAGGGTGGGCTATGTTTAGCACTTGAGTGGGAGTCCACCAAGGAAGACAAGGGTTGCTTCACAGAGGGAAGGCAATGACAAACCAACCCTGCTCCTCTCTTGCGTTGAAACCCCATGAGCAGTTACCACAAGTCAGTTACAACTTGATGGCACTTCATTATTATTATCACAGTTCTCAATATTAAGTGAGCTAAAGGTGGGCTAGACTGAGTGAGCCTTGTAGGTCAGCAGAAATCTGAACCAGTTTCCCCCCCTCCAAACTCAATACACTTGCTCTGTATGTCAATTCTCCAAAAACTCCCTTTGGTCCAGCAGACTGGGGCCCTTTACTGCCTTTGGAAAAGAGATGAGGATTCAGAGGGAGAAGAAATCTAAATGTTCAGCAAGAAAAATTTAAACGGGAATCTTTGCTCTCGGAACGGCAATACCTGGTTGTTTTAAACAAAGGATTCCCGATGCAGGACCTGGGACAACGGAAGGCAGTGATGCCCAAGGGCAGCAACTGACCGATCACTCCTGGCAGCAAATTTTTCCCTGCGAGATCGAGAGATTTCCAGAGTGATTCATCCATTCTAAAGAAAGAAAATTAGTTTACTAGTTAGCAAACAAACTTACGGATTAACGAGAAATGATACCTTGATTTATCCGGCTCTGATAAAAGATTCCTGAATCATGCTAAAAATCTTACGGTTTCTAAGTTTTGATCAAAGCAGATCATACCGGCACAGGGCTCTCCCCACAATTTGGCCAAAGCTCCCTAGCTGGAGTATTGGGGGGCTCCAATCACATCAACATTTAAAAGAAGAAATGCACATTAAAAAGTGAGTTTAGATGGGTAGATTCAGGTGGGTAGCCATGTTGGTCTGAAGCAACAGAACAAAGTTTGAGTCCAGTGGTACCTTTAAGCCCAACGAAGTTTAATTCTGGGTATAACCTTTCCTGTACATGCACACTTCTTCAAATAAGCTTATATTCAGAATTGAACTTTGTTGGTCTTAAAAGGGCTGCTGCATTCAAACTCTGTTCTTTAGACGAGGGGACATGCCACATATTATTATCGCTATCACTAATTGTGAAAGGCTAGCCCCAGTGCAATAGGCCACGAGGACCATCACTGCAGGTATGCAGAAAAATCAAACCTTATTTTAAAAATTGTAATTTTGGAGCTTTTCTTTTCTTTTCTTTTTTAAAAAACACCCCGAAAAGTTTGTCCCAGTCTTGAAAAAACCCTGGCCGAAGTTCAGAGTGAGGTCTCAGATGCAGCAGATGAGGGGGGGAAAGGAGGACAGAGCAGTTCATAGTGAGTCGGGGGCAGAAGAAGAGATTGGATTTATACCCCGCCTTTCACTCGGAGTCTCAGAGCAGCTTACAAACTCCTTTCCCTTCCCCTCCCCACAACAGACACCCTGTGAGGTGGGTGGGGCTGAGAGAGCTCTGAGAGAACTGTGACTGACCCAAGGTCATCCAGCAGCTGCAAGTGGAGGAGTGGGGAATCAAACCCGGTTCTCCCAGATCAGAATCCGTGCACTTAACCACTACACCAAACTGGCTCGCATTAGGCAGTGGCAACTGGGGGAGCGGGAGAGGAAATGGTAGTGGGGGGAGGTGACAGCAAGCAGGAGGATTCCCTCTGCCCTACATCTCCTCCGCCCCACGATTCCTCAGGGGGATTCCCTCTGCCCTAACATCTCCTCCGCCCCACGATTCCTCAGGTGTCTAATTATATTCCAGCAACCATACACATGATGCTATACAACACAATAAGCAAAAAGAAGGCCCCAGACCCACGGAGTTCACACTCTCCATTCCAACAAATGGAGACATCAGAAGGAGGGGGAGGGAAGCCAAAGGAACAGGGCAGACATGCACGGATGTGGTCACAGGTACCTAATGCAAGTACTGTTTTGGCTGGAGGTGAGGAGTAAGGGGTGGAGCTCAAGGCTTCACAGCAAAGAAATATGTCTTGCAGGGGGGTTGTGCAGGAAGAGAGAATAGAACGGGGACTGAGTTCAAGGAGTAAGAGGCAGGAAGAAAGAACAGGTGGAGTCATGTGAGGGAGCAGCTGGGTATGGTAGAGCTTGAGGAGCAGAGATGACCGAGAGGGATAGATCAGAACCCTGATTTACTTAGCAAGTGGCTGTGGCTCAGCTGCAGAGCATATGGCTTGGCATTCAAAAGGCCCCAGGTTCAAACCCGGGCACCTCCAGTTAAAAGGAGCAGGTATAGTTGATGGGGAAGACATCTGCTTGAGGCCCTGGAGAGCTGCTGCCAGTCCAAGAAGGCAATAGTGGTCTTGATGGAACAAGGGTCTGATTCAATATGAGGACACTTCGTGTGTCTTTAACCGCCGCTATCCCATTTCCTCCACCAAAGGGATCTCACAATGAAAAATGGTTAAAAACACCAGCATAAAATAATTATGTAATACAACAACTCCCGCCAAAAGAGCCGCGATAATAGAAAGATGTTCAGTAGCCTTAAATAACAGCCGCATTACACGGATATAAAACAGCATAAAATAAAACCGGCATTAAAATAATGGCCATTGGTAATGGTTTAGAATAAGCAGAGACCTTGAAGAGCCAGAGCACAATTATTTAAATATGTTAAAAAAAAACTTGCAGGGGAGGGGGGGGGAAGGGGATCACAAAATATAAAGCCTGGCTAAACAGATGCTGGCGCAGGAAATGCAACTCATCTGACACATCGAGATAGGTGACGTGCTGTGGGAATGTGGGAACCTGCACATTCAGAGGCACTAGTCCTCTGAATCCCAGAGCCAAAAGGCAACATCAGAGAAAGGTCTCAGCTCCATGCCCTGTTGGTGGCCGTCCAGAAGAACTGGTTGGCCGTTGTGTGAGACGGGATGCTGGACTAGATGGACCACCGGTCTGATCCGGCAGGGCTCCTCTTATGTTCTTATGACACCAGCCACTTAGGCAGTTGCACATCATGGGTACTTATTGGATAGTTCCTGTGACATCCCTCATACACTGCTTGGAGCTTCTCTTCTGCCAGACGCTGCTGCTTCTCCCCTTCATACCTGACTGCTGTCTTATCCTTGTGATCCATCACTCTATAAAGATCGATTTGTGCAGATGTAGTGTTAGCCAGTAACACAGATGGCTTTAAAAAGAGTTTAGACAGATTCATAGAGGACAGCCACTAGCTAAGCTGAGCGGAGGAAAGTGCGATGTCCAAAGGCTGCTAACATAAGAACATAAGAGACGCCAATGTTGGATCAGGCCAAAGGCCCATCCAGTCCAACACTCTCTCACACAGTGGCCAGAAATACCAGGGGCCATCAGGAGGTCCCCCAGTGGGGCCAGGACATTAGAAGCCCTCCCACTGTTGACCCCCCCCCAAGCACCAAGAAGACAGAGCATCACTTGCCCCAGAGCCCCTATGTATACTTGTGGCTAATAGCCACTGATGGACCTCTGCTCCATATGCTTATCAAGGGAATACCAGTTCTAGGAAGCAACATCGAAGGGACATTTTGGCTCTACCGCCTGTGTGCTAGCCCTCCTAGGGCAACTGGATACTGGACAAGGCAGAACACTGGTGTGATCGAGAACATTAAGGTACTCCAGAACAGCTCCTCGTGTATCTCTAATTACAAACCGAACAAACCACTATGTAGGACCTGAGCCTGCCTTAGCAGGAAGGGTGGGGTATAAATCAAATGAATAAATAAATGTCACAAGCGATAACTAAAACCTCTGTTTTTGTGCTTTTATAGTCCTGGTCCGATGTAACGTCATACAACCCAAGCACGTGCCAAGACAAGACCCAAACCATTCAACAGCCAGCGAAAAGCAAAACTATCCCTTAAAAAAAAAAAAAGGTCTGTCTTAAAAATCACTCACGAAAGTCCGTGCCATCTGTGGCAAACCTGGGAAACTTTTAGCAGATCGGCTAAGGGTAAGTACGAGAAGATTCCCAGCAACAGTTCATCAGGCAGCGTATCCCAAGAAACACCTTGAACGGAAAAAATGTTACAAAGTCAAACCAAAAGTAAGATTATTTCATTCCCCAAGGGGGCACAACAAATTTAAATTAATTCATTTGAACCGACATCTCACACTTAAAAACCCCCCACTATACACTAGCTCTGAATTGCAATTAAAAAATTGTCACTGTTCAGAAGCATCCCCCAACTATTCTTCACCATGGCCTTTGGAGCCCTTCCCAGCAGCTGCACACAACCCTAATCTCAGGCTCTTCCCCCGCTAGCCTTCTGTGGCCAGCATAGCCCTAAGGGCACTCCTCCACATTCTGTGGCCACAGAGACGGCTAACTAGCTGTGCCCTACACTGTGCATTTCCAGCCATACTCTACCAAGAACACTCCCCTTTCCCGGTCCCCTAGGTCCCGGGGCTCCTATTTCCACCATCTCCAGGCATCGGTCACGCATCCTCCTGCTCCCTCCTTCGCGGGTATAAAAGAGCCACTGTGGTGTAGTGGTTAGAGTGGCAGACTAGGATCCAGGTCACTCAGGTTTGAATCTCTACTCTGCCATGGACGCTCGCTGGGTGACCTCGGGCCGATAGTATGTCAGTTTAACCTACTGCACAGAGGCTGCTGTGAGAATAAAATGGAAGAGAGGAGGAAAGTATAAACTGTTTTGGGTCACCATGGGGGACAAAGGATGGGCATAAATGAAGTATGTTAGCTCACTCTGCCGACAATAAAGGAGCCAAAACTGAAAAAGCCCACCTTAAAAAAAGAAAGAAAAAATTATTAAAAAATCAAGACTTTCTGTTGCACTTCTAATTGAAAATGCAGTTTCCATTTCCACCTGTGCCTACAGGGTTGCCGTCCCCCCACTTTTGGGGCCCCCAATCTGCTGCTGGCCAGCAGAGGGAATCCCGCCCCCCGAGCAGCCCCATCTGCGCTCGACATGCCTGGCGTGATGATGTCACCCAGAGGTAACGTCATCACGCAGGGCACGTCACGCGGGGGACAAGCTACGGAAATGTTGAATGGATTTTTCCCGTTCCAGTTCTTTTACCTGGTGCTGCTTCTCGAAGTAGCCTTGGTCTGCGGGCAATCACAAATTCCTTGTCCTTCACTTTCTGTCGTTTGGCGGGTGGGGTCACACACATCAGCAGCTCCTGGGGGGTATTCTCATTGGCTAGCTTGTCGTTAAGGACAGACACTCCCATGCCCAAGAGCAGCTCCGATGTCTTGCTGGGATCCCATGCCCACGTGAAGCTAGTGTTGACGTTGCTGCCCGAATCTGGAATTTCATGGAGATGTCTCCTGTAGGGAGATAAGGACCCGGGGACACAGCTTGAAACACTAGAACACCTAGCCACAGTTCCTCTTCTTGCAGGTGTTCCAACAGACAAAAAAAAAAGGAACAGAAGAAACAGCTGTATGTACGTTCTCTGAAATACACTTTCAAAGGTGACACACAAACACACAAAGATTTTGTCTCAGTAACTGGAGGATGGTGTCACACATTGCAGCACGTGCACAAGCCCTTTCAGCTCACGCCAGCTACACAAAGCTAGAAGGGCTTGCCTGGTATCTGGTTAGCAGCCCAGCACAGCTGAAAGCTGCACTTCAGTGTGCCAGTCAGACCTGGCCAAGAACACATTGCAGGTGGCTCCATCGACTACCTGAAGAACTACCTGCCTTGAAGTCAACTGTGCACAGAAAAATTCAGAATCAGTCCTTGACACCTCCAGTTAAAATAAGCTCAAGCCCAGGAAAATTTGGAAGGCAATTCTGTTAGTGGAGTACCAAAGAAACAGCTTTACTCTTTCCACAAGGCCCAAGGTAAAGGTAAAGGGTCCCTTGCTCGAAAGCCAGTCGAATCCGACTCTAGGGTTGCGGTGCTCATCTCCGTTGCCAAGCCGAAGAGCCACAGCGCTGTCCGAAGACGTTTCCGTGGTCATGTGGCCGGCATGACTAAACACCAAGGCGCACGGAACGCTGTAACCTTCCCACCGAAGTGGTCCCTATTTATCTACTTGCAATTTCTTGCTTTCGAACTGCTAGGTTGGCAGGAGCTGGAACTAGAGATGGGAGCTCACTCCATCATGTGGCACCCGGGTCTCGAACTGCTGAACTACTGACCTTCCACAGCCTGCAGTTCAGCGTCTTAACCACTTGAGCCACCCAAGCAGCCTGCAAAACTGTCACACTGCTCTCCAAATAGCCTGTGAACATGATGCATCGGTAAGGATAAGGAAAGACCAGGACACATACTTTAAATGCAGATTTAAAACTCCCTAAAACTCAAGCAGTGGCCTTTCTGTGCTACTCAAGATTCTTTTAGCTGGAGGTGCTAGGGATTGATTCTGGGGCTACATGCATGCAAAGCGTGTGCTTTTTACTGAGTTATAATCCCCATATAGCAGGCCTGTGTACCTCCCCCCGTACAGAGGGTAACATATGCTCATCCCTACACATGGATGTTCTGAGTCCACAATCCTTCACTCTCAAAACATGGACCGCGTGAATCAGAAATCTGCACATCCCTCTACCTCCTTGACACATCATGGACAGACACCGCTGTACCGAACCCTTTGGCAAAAGCACCGAATGCAGTTTGCATGCTCGATCACAAAGCAATCTAACGTGTATTTAGGAGAATGCAATGGCAAAACCACGATCCCTGATTAATGGTTTGCATGATCAGCTAGTCTAAAATGGAAAACATGCAAAACAAGCCATAAAAGCCAACCCTTATGGACATCTGCTTTCTGAAGATAACCCAGGCAATTATCCTCTACTCGTCCTAACCTGAATATTTAATGGCAGCAGAAATGCTGTACCTCGTTTGCGCGCTGCAACCATTTCAGCACAGATCCCAAGGGTAGGCAAATGCGCGCGCAAGCAGCTGGTGTTTGGGCGGGATCCGCTTACCCTTAATTCTCCCCCACCAGCCTTTACCTTTGCATGGCTCTCTAACGGGATGATGCATCGAGAGCCGGTTTGTCTCCCAAACGCCTTTGCCTCTCGTTGCTCGCAGCTCCCGATCCGGCAATCTCGCAGCAACAGCTCCGCAAATCCAGCAAGCAATCGCCCGCGCAGCCCGCCCGGGGTAACGTTCTCTCCCCCTCTCGCAATGATTCCTGGGAGCTGTAGTGGCACCGTGCAAGAGGAAAAGACGCGCAGGGCCCAAATCGGGCTGTCGCGAGGGCTTCTGGGTCTTGTAGTCCCGATAAAGAAGCAAACAAAAAGAAAATTCCCACCCCTTTACCCAGGTTTCCTCACGAGGAGGAGCCATGAGTCGGCGATGACGGCAGAGGGAGTGGGCGAAGCAGGAAATGTCAGCAGCGGCGGTGCCACGGCTCGGTTGGTCGCCGGCTTGGCTCCCTCTTTCCCGTACAGACTCGGGCCTTGGTCTGAGGCCTTGGCAAGGCGCTTAACCGGGACGCGCTGAGGGGACGAGGCCGTCTGAGGCGTCGCCGCTTCGCTTCGGAGACGGGGAGGCGAAAACCAGCCGCGACGCTGTTCGGGAACTCGGTGGCAGCCGATGCTTCTGAGGGGATGGAGCTCGGCCGGGTCCGGGTGAGTCTCCAGGGCGCCTCCGCTCGACCTCGGTAGCTTATCCAGCCGCCGTGGCTGGGTCGGGGGGGTTGGGGGGGTGTTTCTCCTCTGCTGGGTCTAAAAGGAGGAGGACTCTGCTGTTCCTTCGGCTTCCTCACGGCAAAAACTCCCTGCAGGCAGATGGGAGGGACGCGGGGGAAGAATAAGCGATCGAGGAGGCCGGTGTGTAGCCCAGCAGCTCCCGTCAGAACTGTGATCGATCTCCTGACCAGTGTTCCCTCTAAGCTGAGTTATTGTGAGCTAGCTCACAGTTCTTTAGCCTCCGGCTCACACGTTTTTGTCTTCGCTCAGGAAGGAGGGCTCCAGAGCAAGCTAATCTATGCAGGAGGCAAATGGCTCGCTCACATCTTTCATGCCAGTAGCTCACAAAGTAGAATGTTTGCTCACAAGACTCCACAGCTTAGAGGGAGCATTGCTGACCTACAGCTTGAACCATTAGCCTCCATTTTACCACCGCAGCCCTGCTGAGGACGAGTGAGGTGGTAGAATGGAATGCGAAGAGGAGCAAGGTCGAGGGACGCATTTTTGGGATGCCGGACCCGTCCCTGTGCCGATTAGCGCGATGCCTACCCTTTTCCACGGACGCAGCTGTTGGCTAAGGATGTAGACGGTGTAATAATCGCTGTATAGGAAGAGCCGTTCGTCTGTCTTCTCCCCGTTTCTCGCACGAATTTTGTGCAATGCTGACTGGCTGCCTCATATGTCAGGGTTTTGCAAAGCAAAACATGGAGAAAGCAGGCATGTCTCTGAACTGGGCAGATGTGACCTTTTGTACTACAGCCTCTGTCGTGGAATGAGCCTGTTCTCTCTGATATGGCCTCTTGGGGGGAAGGGGGGGGAAAAAGAACTAGTGAAGTTAATAACGCGCTCAGGTTTCACAGATTTTGCACATGTTCTTGTAAATGTGTATTTTGTAAATGTGCCTCTTTGTGTATTTTGTAAATGTGCCTCTTTTGGAAGCAAACAAAATTTGAGTCCAGTGCTTTAAGACCAACAAAGTTTGATTCTGGATATAAGCTGTGGTGCATGCACACTTCTTCAGATATGTGCACATGAAAGCTTATACCCAGAATTAAACTTTATTAGTCTTAAAGGTGCCACTGGACTCCAATTTTGTTCTATTGCTTCAGACCAACACGGCTGACCACCAATATTCCCTCTAAGCTGTGGAGTCTTGTGAGCAGAAATTCTACTGTGTGAGCAACTGGCATTAAAGTTGTGAGCGAGTGATTTGGCTGCTGCATCAATTAGCCCACCTTGATCTATCTTTTTGGAAGAGAAGTTATAGTGCTTGATCAGGCTTTAATATATAAATCTTTAAAAGGTTTTGGGTTTTGGATGCAAAGGTGAATCTTAGTTTCTCCACCCATCCATTTGTGTTAGGATGTTCAATTTTAATCACACCCTTTTTATTTAAAGCCTTCCATCAGTGGAAGTTTGGAATCTTATAATTTTTGTGCCGTAAAAACTTTATAGTGAAAGTACATTCCTAAACATCTGTTTCTCAGGCCAGTTCTGCCTCTGTGCTTTAACAGGTGAAAGCATACTCAGTCTGCATGCTCCTGAATTCCTAACAGTGATCTTTTGTATTACATGTTTTCAGTGATACGCATCTGTCAGATTGATTGCTTCTCATCATCTAGCATTGCCTTGTACTTGCACTGGGTTTTGATCAAATCTTTTCCAGTTTTTGGTACCTTTGTCGGTCCATAATTTTGAGATTTAGACGATTCTTGAAGGCCAAACAAGATTTGATAGTGAAAGACTTATAAAGAAAATCAGATTTACTGAATAAACACATGAGGCATGATTTGCAGGAGTCTGGGAAGGCAGGAGTCTTCTCCCTGTCTAGGCGTGTTTAGGTGGATGTGGAATTGCGGGATGCTCCATTGTGCCGTCCTAAGCAGAGTTATGCCCTTCTAAGCCCATTGACTCCAACAGACTTTAAGTCTATAATTCTCCCTAGGATTGTGCTGTAAATAATATACTCCTAGTCACTAACTTGGGTCACAGATGCAGGGGGGAAATGGCATGTATGGAAAGGCTTTTGGTATGTATTTTAAAATTTATTTCCCTGGTCAGATTGAGAATTCTCTGGAATCTGAATTGCTATGCACAGAAGGGATCTGCTTAGGATTTCTGAATGCACGGTTACTGTTTCACCCATCATAAAATAATTTGCTTGAAGTCTGATTGAACTGAAGGTCCAGGACACCCATTTAGGAAGCAGGTTGTCTTTAATGATCAGCACTTAACAGTACAAGGTGAAACAAAAGATGAAGGAGTAAGGGAACACTGTCTTCTGAGAAGCATGTTATAGCACTGGTTTTAAAAAAAAACCCTCGCAAATGAAATGAAAACATTCTTTGGGTAAACGTCTATAAAATATTTTGATGTGGTGAAAGGTATATTGGGTTGTACCCTAAGTACAGCTAAGTGCAAAGCCTTCCTATGGCAGAAGAACATCTTCTACTGAAAGAAGGCTGTGGGGGGTTGATGGTGGCCGAGGCAAAAGATGATGATGATTTATTAGATTTGTTAATTGCTCTATCCCAGCTTGCTCTGGGAGATGTGCAAAGAGCATAATTCCATAAAACAAAGATACAAGATGCCACCCTTTGCACTTGTTCAGCATCACATGAACACATGAAGCTGCTTTATACCGAATCAGGCTGCTGGTCCATCACAGCCTGTATTATCCAATCAGACTGGCAGTGGCTCTTCAGGGTCTCAGGCAGAGCTCTTTCACATCACCTGCTGCCAGGTCCTTTAACTGGAGATGCCAGAGATTGAGCCTGGGAACTTCCGCATGCTAAGCAGAGGCTCTTCCACTGAGCCACAATCCCTCCTTGTTTAAACTGAGCTGCCGTCTTTGCACAGCAGAAGTGCTACTGCAGAATCCCCATGGGGAAGTAATTTTCCCTCTCCAGCGTCCGTCTTGAATCAAGCCCAACCGTAGCTAATTGGAGAGGTAGGCTGCAAACCAGCCTGGCGTAGTGTTTGGACTAGGTTTGAATCTCCACTGTTCCATGGAAGCCTGCTGGGTGACCTTGGGCCAGTCACATGCTCTCATCTCAGCCTGACCTACCTCTCAGGGTTGTCGTGGGAATAAAATGCAGGTGCGGATAATGTTGTAAGCTGCTTTGGATCCCCCATTGGGGAGCACGTAGTCTATAAGTGAAGCAAAAAAAATTAAATAAAAATAACCTAATAAGTTTCAAACTTTTCTGCAACTAGGAGAAAGATCAGTCCTGACGCCATGAAACTGCTAATGCCTTTGGAGAACAACTGTTTCTCAAAAATCAGTTCATTATTTGTCAAATGAGGAAGACAACACAGGAAAATATTGTAGCATGACTCTTTGCCCACTACGACCGCAGTCAAGAGAACTGTGTAACTAATTTCTAATTTGATTCTTCATACAGCAACCCCACACATACCACACAGCGTTTTTTAGCACAACGCGTAAAGGAGTTGAAGGCAAACATCGTTCAGGCAGTGTTCTCTGGATTAAACTAAAAAAATAATCTCTGGTCTGTGTTCTAAAATGAAGTGCTGTTCAAATAATAAAGTCTCCCTCCCAAATGAACTGAGCTATAAATAACATCTCCTCAGAAAAGAAATTATTTTGAGTTATTTGCAAAGATTTTAAGGATGGTGTCATTATGGGCCTCTTTCTGTTTACTTATTCTTAGAGTGTAGAGCAAAGAGACCAAATTCTTGGTCAGTCAAAGAAAAGAGCAAGAGTCCAGTAGCCCCTTAAAGACTAACTAATTCTTAGTCAGCCATGAAACCCATGTGAAATCTGGAGTCAGTCTCTATATCTCACCCTAATGTTACTTTGCAGCATGGTTGTGAGGATGAAATGAGTATCAGGGGAGCTGTGATGCGGCCCTATATATAGATGGAACAAGAGCCCAGTAGCACCTTAAAGACCAACAAAATTTGTAGCAGGGTATAATATACCTGCTCACTTCTTCAGGTACTGTGTAACTAATTTCTAATTTGATTCTTCTTACAGCAACCCCACACATACCACACAGCCCATCATTTTTTAGCACAACACATAAAGGAGTTGAAGGCAAACATCATTCAGGCAATGTTCTCTGGATTAAACTAAAAAAATAATCTCTGGTCTGTGTTCTAAAATGAAGTGCTGTTCAAATAATAAGGTCTCCATGTACTTCTTCAGGTACTGAAGAAGTGACCAGTGTCTCACAAAAGCTCATACTCTGCCACAAATTTTGTTAAAGTTAGTCTTGTTAGTCTTCTTCAGATACTGAAAAAGTGAGCAGTGACTCACAAAAGCTTATAGCATGCCACACATTTTGTTAGTCTTTAATGCACCTGGGTTTTCTTGAGCCCTGTGTGGGTATATAAATAAAAATTGTGTTCCTAAGCAGTAATCCATCATTGCTGACAAATGGGCTTGTTGCTAAGATGTAAAATAGTGCATTTTTTCCTTGTCTGTCTTTCTAAAGTTCATAGGCTTTCACCAAAAACAAAGTTTGAGTCCAGTGGTACCTTTAAGACTTAAAGGTGTCACTGGACTCGAACTTTGTTCTCCTGCTTCAGACCAACATGGCTACCCACCTTTCACCAATTCATTTACATGGGAAAAAGACATCAAACTAAGTGTATTACGTATTTTTATTGCATTTTAACTTCCCAGTAAAGTGCAGGAATCGCAATGATCCAGTGGGCTAGTTGAGGCAAGGCCTGATGAAATTTTGGCTTTGCACAGATGAATACATGTGCCTTCTCTGTTTTGGCCTCCACCATGTGGAATGGCCTGCCTGAGGGGATCAGGAAAGCTCCCGCTATTTTGGCTTTCAGTAAACTATGCAAAAATGAATTACCCAAGAGGGCTTTTCTGTGCAGGCTGCAGAGTTGTACTATACGAAATGATTCATGAAGTTACTTGGATAAATTATTAGCAGGGGTCATTTCGTAGAAAAAGAGGTGCAGGAGCTCATTAGCATAACTCGTTAGCATAACTTATTTGCATATGCCACACCCCCTGACATCACCGGAAGTGTGCCAGAAGGCAACACCCACCGCTCAGGCTCCACTGGACTGTTTTGGATTGCTAGCTATTGGGGGGGGGGGACGTGCAGATCTGCCCTCATAGAAGAGGGAGAGCTTGTACCTGAATAAAACTTGGTTTTAAAGGTGCCACTGGACTGTTTTGGACTGGGGGGCTCTGCAACTTACCTGGCTGCTTCTTGCTCTGACTGAGGGCTGCTGGGAGCAGGGGGTGGGGCTTGTCGCATGTGCCCGCCCCCTGGGCTCTTTACTGCCGGAGCTCCACTCATGTGCGCTCCTGCAGGAAATGACCCCTGATTATTAGGGAAGGTAGTCTATACTACTGTGTTTAGCTTGCTGATACTGGGTACCTATTATGTCCTTTTAGCATCGTTTAATTGCCATATTAATACTTATGCTTTGCTTCAGTTCTGTTTTTAGATTTCTGACTGGTTCTACAACCCTGATCCTATTGCATTGTTTACTGAATGTCTTGTCCCACCAATTATATTAACTGTGTGCTCCGCTATGACTGCCAGTGAGAAAGGTGGACTATAAATAACACAAAACAAATATCACAGTCTCCTGTTCAGAGCAGTTCTGCCCTATGGCAAGGGAGGTACACGGAGGACCTCACAGCCCCTTTCATTGTGTCATTGATCAGCCGCAGTGGCTGAGTGTCGAGCGGGAGGGGGCAGAACACCTGCTTGTTGGGATGTGCCAATCCAATCAGTGTATTACGGTCAAAGACCCATCAAACAGCATACAGAGTCAAAAACAGTCTCCAGATTGTCATAAGGCATTACAGAGAAAGAACTTCTCAAGGAGTATTAAGGAGGTGCTTGCGCTTTATAATTGCAATAAAAAGAAATTTAGCAACATTCCTTGAAATAGCCGTGGATTTATCCTCCAGTAGGTGTTTCAGCAAAAGTTCCTCGGACTGAATTACTAATTGTCCTTGACACCTAAATGACCTTAATAAAGGCCTATTCAAAAGGGCTCTTTCTTCTACATAGTGGGAACAATGAAATAATATATGGGGGAGGGTCTCTATTGACTCGGAAGGGCATGAGCAAAATCTCAAATGTCTGGGGATACGTTGAAATCTTCCGGAAAGAACTGCAGATGGAAAAGTGTCAAATCTGGCTCTGGAAAAGGCCCATCTGTGATTTGGGTTGGAAATATTAGCTAGGTATAAAGGAGCAGACATTAACGTTTTGGATTTCAGAGATCTGTAAAGAGGCGGAAGTGCGGCATAAGATGTTTGTAGCTCAGTATCTCTGAGACGCTGGTAAACAGTGGTTTTTGCCCTAGCATAGCCGCTTTCCAAAAGTTGGTACGGGTCTAATCCTAATGTTCTCAGTTTGTTGGGATGTGGGTGAGAGAGGTATGTTCATTGCCAACCATTCACCACAGGATTTAATTAAATGTCATTTTGTTTTTTTTTGTTACAGCTATGATATTCTTTTATAAATGAAGTATATATTCCTGGCTGGACTCAGTGGATAATAATGAGTGGTGCAGCTTTGGGCATTGAGATAGTATTTGTCTTCTTTCTGGCTTTAATCATATTACATCGGTATGGAGACTTCAAAAAACAACACAGGCTTGTGATCATCGCAACACTACTAGCTTGGTATCTTTGCTTCCTCATAGTATTTATATTGCCTTTGGATGTCACTACGGTAAGGAATTCCGTTTCAGTCTTTCCCTTTTTGTGGGTCAGGGAATCCATAAAGCGTCCCAGGCTTGAAACCTTTGGAGGTAATCAAGACTCCTGATGAAATTGATATGATAATTCTTTTTGGCTTTAATCATATTACATCGGTATGGAGACTTCAAAAAACAACACAGGCTTGTGATCATCGCAACACTACTAGCTTGGTATCTTTGCTTCCTCATAGTATTTATATTGCCTTTGGATGTCACTACGGTAAGGAATTCCGTTTCAGTCTTTCCCTTTTGTGGGTCAGGGAATCCATAAAGCCTCCCAGGCTTGAAACCTTTGGAGGTAATCGCTGATTTCATACCTGCACCTGTTAGGTAACTGTGCGGTGTCGATCCCTTTGTTAAAAAGCTGAACAAACTTATTTCAGAATTTCAGGCTATTAAAAATCAGGATGATGTTGTTTGTTGTTGTATGCTTGTGTGTGTTGTTGCCTTACCTTAAATTAAGAGGAAAGCAGAGTGAATGTTGTCCAGCTCCATTTTGGTTATGTTCCATATTTAGATGTCAGCCTTATATCCACTTCCGTTGTGCTACAGTGGCATTGTGTACACATGAAGTGAAGCAGAAGCCACCAGCCCATTCCCATCTTTTTCAGTGCACCTTTTAAGGTGTCTTGCTGTAGCATCTGTATAAAGGAAAGAAAAAGGGGTGGGGGGACTCAACCAATGCTCCCTCTAAGCTGTGGAGTCTTGTGAGCAAAAATCCTACTTTGCGAGCTACTGGCATTAAAGTTGTGAGTGAGCAATTTGGCTGCTGCATCAATTAGTTTGCTTTGGAGCCATCCTCCTTGAGCTGAGACAAAAATGTCTGAGCCGAAGGCTAAAAAACCGTGAGCTAGCTCACACTGACCCAGCTTAGAGGGAACACTGGACTCAACCCAACCAGATGGAATCAAGAACCACAAAGGAGGTTTCAAGGAGGCCTCACAAATAATATTTTTCTTTAATTCTCCTCTTTTTGAGCTACTATCGTTTTTCTAATTCTTAGGGCAAGCCATCCAAACCTAGCCACCCGATGAGTAACTTCTTCTCGCCTATCCGATAAAAAACTTTGGTCTATTTGCCCGTCAATGACTTTGAATAAAACATAGTAAAAGGTAAAGGTTCCCTTGCTCGAAAGCCAGTCAAATCCGACTCTAGGGTTGCGGTGCTCATCTCCGTTTCAAAGCCAAAGAGCCAGCGCTGTCCGAAGACGTTTCTGTGGTCATGTGGCCGGCATGACTAAACACCGAGGCGCACGGAACGCTGTTACCTTCCCACCGAAGTGGTACCTATTTATCTACTTGCAATTTCTTGCTTTCGAACTGCTAGGTTGGCAGGAGCTGGAACTAGAGATGGGAGCTCACTCCATCATATGACACCCGGGTCTCGAACTGCTGAACTACTGACCTTCCACAGCCTGCAGTTCAGCGTCTTAACCACTTGAGCCACCACAGCTCCGAATAAAACATACTTACTAATATTTTTCTTGTCATTTTTTTCTTTTTTCTTTCTTCCCGAACAGAATTCCTTTTTTCATCCTATATCAACTTGTTAACTGCCTTTTGATTGTAACAGGAGCCTCTATGTACCTTTCAATGTTTGACCTCTGAGGAAGGCTCTTCTGGGCCGAAACGTGTTAGGTCATAAGTGTTTCCTCTTGTGCATATGTAACTTTTATCAGATTTTGAGGCTTGATTTGGGCCCCAGTAAGTTTTTAAAAGTCTCTGATATAAATACATGTAATTTTACTTATTCTGTATTTAAGTTTTAACTATTGGCCCCTTCCTTGATTTCTAACTTACCTTCGTGGTTCTTGATTGCATCTGTATAAGGGACCTGGCTCCCTCTTTTTGACAGACCTTCCCATAGACAGTGAAAGTTCATGCCCACCTATTTCAATTCCCTTCCTGATCTGAAAAACCATCTTGCTTGACATTCCTTTGCCACATAGGGGTTTGCCTCACCATCAGTATGATAGTACTGATCCCTGCTGCTGATCCTGAACATGCAGGCCAGCACCAAGCATTCAGACCCGTGCTCTGCTGCTGTCCTTCTGTAAATATCTCTGTGTAGCAGATGGCAAAGCTGTGTAGCAGATGGCAAAGCTGAGCCAGCATGGTGTAGTGGTTAAGAGGGGCGGACTTTAACCTGGGGAGCCGGGTTTGACTCACCACTCCTCCACATGAAGCCTGCTGAATGACTTTGGGCCACACAATTCTCACAGAGCTCTCTCAGCCCCACCTCCCTCACAGGGTACCTGTTTTGGGGAGAGGAAGGGAAAGGAGATTATAAACCGGTTTGGGGCGCTTTAGGATAGAGAAAAGCGGGGTATTAAAAAAAACAGCTCTTCTTCGTCTGTACCAAAATTACAACAAAGAAGGTTCTTTGATTTGAGTTTGAGGTGAAATTGAGCATTGAGTTTAAGTATTTATCTAAATTGACAGGTACCTTTACATCTTCCATTCCCCAAAATGGCACTTTTCTCTAACTGCCAACATTTCTTTCATTTTCTAGACTATATACAATCGATGTAAGCTTGCTGTAAATTCTAGTCCGTCTGAAAGTAGCATCAGCAATGGATCACATACACGTCATGCTCCAGGGTACAGATAACTGATATTTCTGCATATGCATGTTAACAAAATAGTTTATGTGACTAGAAAATGTTTTGTTTATCAAACAATAAAGAGCTTATCAGTAAGGCTTTTGATAAGGTTCTACATAATATTCTTGTTGGCAAATTGGTAAAATGTGGTTTTGATCCTATTACTGTTAGGTGGGTCTGTAACTGGTTGACAGATCACACCCAGAGTGCTTGTTAGGCTCCCCATCCTCTTGGAGAGGAGTGACAAGTGGAGTGCCTCAAGGATCTGTCCTAGGGCCTTTTTTGTTCAACATCTCTATAAATGATTTGGATGCAGGAATAGAGGGAATGTTTATTAAATTTGCAGATGATACTAAATTGGGAGGGGTAGCAAATATGGTAGAAGACAGAGTCAGGATACAGGATGATCTTGACAGGCTGGAAAACTGGGCTAAAACAAATAAAAGGAATTTCAATGGGGATAAATGTAAAATTCTGCATTTAGGTAGGAAAAATCAAATGGCTAATTACAGGATGGGGAAGACTTGTCTTAGTAGTAGTGTGTGTGAAAAGGATTTAGGGGTCTTAGGAGACCATACACTGAACATGAGTCAGCAGTGTGACGAGGTAGCTAAAAAGGCAAACGCAATTTTGGGCTGTATCAACAGAAGTATAGTGTCCAGATCACGCGAAGTGATGATACCACTTTATTCTGCTCTGGTTAGACTTCACCTATTGTGTTCAGTTTTGGGCACCACAATTTTAAAAGGATATAGACAAGCTGGAATGTGTTCAGAGGAGGACAATGAAGATGGTGAGGGGTCTGGAGACCAATTCCTATGAGGAAAGGTTGAAGGAGCTGGGTATGTTTAACCTGGAGAGGAGATGGCTGAGAAGTGATATGATAGCCATCTTCAAGTACTTGAAGGGCTGTCATATAGGGGATGGTATGGAGTTGTTTTCTGTTGTCTCAGAAGGTCGGACCAGAACCAACGGGTTGAAATTAAATCAGAAGAGTTTTCGGCTAAACGTTAGGAATAACGTCCTGACAGTGAAACAGGCTTCCTGGGGAGGTTGGTGGGCTCTCCTTCTTTGGAAGTTTTCAAACAGAGGCTAGATGGGCATCTGACAGCAATGCTGATTCTGTGAACTTAGGCAGATCATGAGAGGGAGGGCAGGAAGGGTTGCCTCAGTGCTTAGTTCCTTGTGGCCCTTTCTTACACACCTGGGGAAATGCTGGTTGCCACTTTGGGGTCAGGAAGGAATTTTTCTCCAGGTCAGTTTGGCTGGAGATCCTGGAGGCTTTTTGTCATATTCTGGGCATGGAACAGGGGTCACTGGGGGTGCGGGGGGGGGAGGTATTTGTGAATTTCCTGCCTTGTGCAGGGGGTTGGACTAGATGACCCTGGAGGTCCCTTCCAACTCTATGATGCTATGATCTCATCTCTGCCTTTTTAAAGAAACATCTCAGCATCTCTGCCTTTTTAAAGAAATGTGGTTGTGCTTTTATTTATTTATTAATGCAATATTTATTAATGCAAAGTACTCTGCTACTCTAGAAAAGCTTGGAGCAATTTACATGTTTAATCCCCCCCATTCAGTGGATATTCCCCCACTTCCTATTTTCCTAGCATATTTTCTAACCACCCAAGGTGGCTTGGAAAAAATGCTTGAAATGGGCGAAGAAAGGAATGTGATAGTTGCTAAGCTGCCACTTTTCAGAGTCGGGTTGCATAGATGGCATTATTAAAATTGCTCTTTGTTAATCTCAGTGGCCTCGATGTAAGGTATGAAGGGAATGAGACCCAAGCACACGATTCAGCCTAGAATAAACAGACATACGAATGGCTTGAACAGTTGAAATCAATTTTAGCACAGTGGATTACAACTGCAAGCCTGCGGGAAGCAGAACAGGTGTATCACTGGGACCCAATTCCGGCCCTGATCAGGCCTACATTTTAGTAGTAGGTTAAATGTACCAGGAGGGCTATGTATCTTCTGATTCACAGACTTAAACCTTTTTCCTTGAGAGGTTTTTTTTTAGTATCTTTAGTATCTGAAGAAGTGAGCAGTGACTCACAAAAGCTCATACCCTGCCACAAATTTCGTTAGTCTTTAAGGTGCTACTGGGCTCTTGCTCTTTTCTACTGCTACAGACAGACTAACACGGCTACTCATCCTGTAGTGATTTTTGTTTGATACCAAAGGAACCAGTCCTTTTGAAAATTGTATTCCTTTGAGTCATTAGAAGATACTCTTCAACGGCAAACTCAGAACAATTCAGATGTTATGACCTATCATCTACCTTTGGAAGGGTGGAAGTTTTCATTAGGGTGCAATAAGGAAATAATTATAGTTGAGCTACTATTCCAAGGCTGTGCTTGACTCTGAAGTAATCAACTTAATTAGCATGTATAGTTTTCATGATGCCACAGTCGAGCTCATTAAAATATTTGCTTTAGATGTTTTCTTCTTTAAAATATTCCTTTGATTATTGCTGTTGCGATAAAATACCAAGCAGCATGTATTCCTGAATAAACCTTAAAATCTTCCATATCTGACTGGTTTGTGGTGATGACTATAACTGGATGGGCCATGTATAAACGTGGAATCCAGTTGCAATGTTTTGTGAATTTGCTTTGATCTGGGGATGTGATTGTCCTCTGTCCTCTTGCTATAAGGCAGTTAAGGGAAGGACTCTAGCCTTTACTACTAGAAGGCCCATTGCGGGTTGCACCTCTTTCCTCTCAAGGAGTAGAACATGTCTAGGAGATGACCTGATTTTAGCCATCAGCCAGAGAAAATGGATCTGTAGGAACCATGCTTCCCCCTTCCCTGCCAGGAAGTACTTTGGTACAGGTGTCAATTCTTGACTGTAGTAACAACGAAAAGAACACAGAATGCTGTTGTTGGTCAGTGTTCCTTCTTTGCTAGCCCCAGTCTCATCAGATCTCAAAAGCTAAGCGGGGTTGGCCTGGTTAGTACTTGGATGGGAGACCGCCAAGGAAATCCAGGGTTGCTACGCAAAGGCAGGTAATGGCAAATCACCTCTGAATGTGTCTTGCCTTGAAAATCCCATGAGATCACTCCATAAGTCACCTGCAACTTCATAGCACTTTCCACCACGGCTTTTTTGCAAGAGATTTTGTCCATGTACGAAGTAGCCTTTAGTGGTATCTGCTGTGCAGGCACCGTTAATATTATATACCTGGTTCACTTTTCGTGAAATTGGTGGGCATTTATTATGTAGCTTAAATTCCAGTGCATAGTAGTGGCTAGGGTGTCTGATTAGGATCTGGGAGACCCACGTTTGAATCCCCACTCATGCCATGGAAGTTTGCTGGGTGACTTTGGGCCACTCACATGCTCTCAGACTATCCTACCTCACAGGGTTGTTGTGAGGATAAAATGGAGGAGAGGAGAATGATATAAGCTGCTTTGGGTCCCCATTAGGGAGGAAGATGGGATATATATGAAGCGAGGAAGTAAGATGGTAATGTTACTTCATAGTTTTGTTAGTAACACGTAGTGTTTACTGGAACAATTAAAATATTTTTAGGAGAAAAGAGTTGTTCTTTGAAATAAAAAATAATTTTTAATCTTTCTTTACAGAAACCGTGAGTGTTTCAAACCATGGAGCTATATTCCTCCTGGAATCATGCCTGTCTTCTGGCGTGTTGTGTACTGGACATCACAGTTCTTAACATGGTGAGGAACTTCTGGAATGTTTGAATCAGTTCTAGGTAGTATGGTCAACGAAACCACCACATGGTTCTCTTTAGTGGTCAACACCTGTGTACTGTATATTAATGCCAGAACTTGCAGGGTATGTGTGTGTGTGGGTCGGGTCAATCTTAAATGCTCGTCAGAGGGAAGCAGCATTAAGAATATTTCCCTCGTCAGAGGGAAGCAGCATTAAGAATATTTCCAGGCACTTTCACTGCAGCCCAATAATTTGCCCATCCTGTATTTAGTCCATTGCATTATAGTCCTGCTGCAGTGGCTCACCACTGCTAGTGAAATGCTTTCCACCCTCTGCTAAATGCTAAGAATGCAGCCTTGCAACTGAGGTAGACTTTTTTCTTGTGCATGAACTCCTGTAGCGTTAGGGGTTTCAGAACCGATAGCCGTAATTTTTCCAAAGCTGATGTGTATATATGCAGAAATATATGTCTGATAGATTTCAGGTACACTTTAGAAGGGGTTTTGATGAATAGTTTTAACAATCTGGCTTTGAAGAGCAACTGTTTGGACTTTTAAAAATGTGTTATTTCCGTCTATCTCAATGGTCATTTTCTATTTTATTAAAATGTGGTATATCGTATTAACCTTGGATCCCAGGCTGCCGGGCAAAAAGTGGATCTACATTTTTTAATAAATTAAGTTATGTAGAGAATTTGTTGTTAATACATGAAAAACGGGCGATAGCTGAGATGGAATAGTTTTGCTTAATTAATTCTGTTGTTCACTCCTAGGATTCTGTTACCCTTCATGCAGTCATATGCTAGGTCAGGAGGCTTTTCCATTACTGGAAAGATTAAAACTGCATTAATTGAAAATGCAATATATTATGGCACATACCTTCTGATTTTTGGAGCATTTTTAATATATGTGGCTGTAAACCCGAACTTCAGCCTGGAATGGTAAGAATCATAAACTCCTGGTATTTAAATACTTGGGACAGGGCTTAGTAATCACATTTATCTTCTTTAAATCTGTGTTATCAACTCATTCCTAAATACTTGCATGACTGCATATGAAATTCAAAACAAAACATTTTAAATATTTTTTTTAATGGGAAAAAATAGCCCGTGAATCAAAGACCTCCTTCAGCCACAGCCGAAGTTTCTTCCATGGGAGCCTCTCTTTGAACTCTATAATATCACAATCTGCCTTTGAAGCAGTTTCAGAAGTGGTTGGCCACAGGGCAGAGGGAACACTGCAAGAAATAGAAATGCAAAGTAATTTGACCGCGAAGAAATTTGAATCCTGGCCTCAGCAACACAAAACATATAACTTTTATTTTTTGAAAGCTGAGAGCTTTATCTGTGATGTATGTCAATATCATTTAAAGTTATCTTAGTGAAAGATGTGTGGAATGTGTGTACTGTAAACAGTTCTTAAACCGTTTCACCATAGAAACGCACTCTCTGGTTAGAGTTATAGCCATTAGCCCTGCTGCTCTGTGTGGAGGAAGAATGCCTGCACTGGCTACTCTTAGACTTCAGCAACATTTGGAAACAAGCAAGGCAAAAGTGGTTAGTTGTACCCTGTGTGTCTAGCATCAATACTGCTGTAGGTGAGGCTTGCAGCTATGGATATAGAGAGAAGAAGAAGAGAGAGAAGAGATTGGATTTATACCCTACCCTTCACTCAGAGTGTCAGAGCGGCTTACAAACTTCTTTCCCTTCCCCTCCCCACAACAGACACCCCTGTGAGGTAGGTGGGGCTGAGAGGGCTCTGACAGAAACTGCTCTTTTTCAAGGACAGCTCTTGTCAGAATTATGGCTTGCCCAAGGTCATCCAGCCAGGTACAAGGGGAGGAGTAAGGAATCTTACCCGGTTCTCCCAGATGAGAGTCCGCATACTTAACCACTACACCAAACTAGCTAAGGATAAGATCAGACTGTAATTAATGGATAAGGTATAGTAAGTCTACTTGTTCTTACATGGGTCAGAGGGTATACCTGTTGGTCATCTGTACATTAAAAAGTGGTCCTCTTTAATGCATTCTCTCCAGTTGTTGAGAAGAAGCAATGTGGTAGTATGTATCTTTACTCCATTTAATAATTCACATCTGGGGAAAGATAGTCTTATAAGTAGCTAAGGTAGTGGCTGGGTGAGAATTGTAACGTTTAGAAGAGTTAAGGGAGAAAAAGATGGGTTTCAATATTTTCCAGATATCCATGTCTTTAATGTTTAATATTGTTTCTGTTTCAACGAACTATTTCCCCCCAGTTATCGCATGTGAAATCATTGCCTACTCTTTTCTGTTTTAGGAACCAACTTCAGACCATTGGAATAGCTGCTGCCAACACTTGGGGCCTCTTTCTTCTTGTCTTGCTGTTAGGGTATGGCCTGGTTGAAATTCCACGTTCTCATTGGAATGGAGCAAAGAAAGGTTACCTTCTGATGAAGACTTATTTCAAAGCTGCCAAGCTGATGACTGAGAAGGCAGATGCAGAAGAAAACTTGGAGGATATAATGGAGGCAAGTAAACTATGCTTGTCACGCAAAATGTTGAATGGAATACTACATCTGTGAGGGGAAGAGAAGGAAGCTGTTTCTACTGATCTGTCCTCGCCCAGTGCAGACATCTGTTGTATTGCACCCCATGCCATTCCCATAAATTTTCTAACCCGTAGGAGTGGCATGGTCGTGGTGGGGGGGGTTGCCCAGAAGGCTGTACATGAAAGTGAAGGCAGGAAATATCCATTCCATTTGCCAACCTCTGCCTGCATTTCATTGGATCAGTTCATATTCTGCCTTAGGGTATACATGTGAGATTTTTCCTTCTTTTTGTTCTGAAGAACATGTGTGTGTGTCTGTATTGTACAGTCAGCTTTGAGATATGAACTAGGAGGATCAAAATGTTAAGTATCCAGCATTAGCATCAGAATCTCCTAATTGTGTGTATCCGTGATGAGTGACCCATGTATATTAATCCAAGTCCCAACTGTGCTTTAATAATCACAGGTCAAGTTGTAGAGCTGTTTTCATGGTATGTAAAACCAATAAGCATTTAAAGGCATGTAGTGATGGTGTGGGTAGTGGGATTTCATTTTGTTCTGGAAAATTCACAATTGCAGCCCATCAGATGCTTAGACCCAAAGTTCTTTTTTGTTCCGTATTGCAGTTGTTAGAGAGAAACTCCATGTTTGGCTGGTTTAGGCACAAAGGAATGTGTCTTAACAGTTTTGTCCCTGTAACTTTATGTTTAATTTCATAAATGGAAGCTTATCTGGATCTGTATTATTTTTTTTGTAGGCAAAAATATTGATTTTATGAAGTATGTTCTCATGATACGAACTGTAGTAGGTACTGATCATGAATAACAGGAGCAGAGTCTCTTTGGCATAAAAATATTATCCACACCAGTGGTTCTCAGACATTTTGAAGTGGAACCAAACTTACTGTATTTTTAAGGTGTTTGGGTCTGAAGCAGCAGAACAAAGTTTGAGTCCAGTGGCACCTTTAAGACCAACAAAGTTGAATTCTGGGTATCACCTTGAATAAAACTTTCTTGGTCTTAAAGGTGCCACTGGACTCCAACTTTGTTCTGTATTTTTTAAAGACTTGCTTCTAATCATACTGTACCAGTTGCATAACATGCAGAAATCATTTAACGCTGAACAAGCTTACATTTTTATATTTTACATAGCACGTGGAGGCGAACTCAAATTTGCCATCAAGCCTCCCAGTTCCTCCTGTTCCTCCTCCTCCTGGTATAGCAACCCATGTTCAGTCCTTTCCCAATACCATCTAGCCTCTTGCACCCCCAACTCTCTGTGTCCTTTCCAGGTGTCAGATTCTAGCTAAGGTGTGGGGCTGATCATTCTCCCCACCAGGATGGCTGTTGGTATTTCCACAGCTTCGGTGGCTGGTACTTAGGTGCTACTTGAGAGGAATTGACTTCCTCCTTGCTGCCTTCTTCTGCTAGGAAAGAGAAAAACTTTTAAAATGACATGTTGGGGTTTTGCCAAGCCCATACCCTGAAGTAAAAAGTATTTCTCCACATGGTAGAAAGAAATCCCACAGTATTCTTTCCTAAATTATTACAAGCAGTGTTCCCTCTAAGGTGAGTTAGTGTGAGCTAGCTCACAGTTTATAAGCCTCCCGCTCACACATTTTTGTCTTAGCTCAGGAAAGATGGCTCCAGAGCAAACTGAGAGGAGTCAAAATACAGAAAAACTGCCTTGAAGATCTTGTAAGAGAGGAAAAGGAGGTATAAGTGTGTTGTTGAATAAATACATTTCTGGTCTTTCCCTCTCACGGAAACAGGAAGTTCGCAAAGTAAATGAGAGTATTAAGTACAACCACCCCTTAAGGAAGTGTGTGGACACAATACTGAAAAAGGTAACTAATTTATTACATTTTGATTTGAAACCATTGATTACATGGAATCATAAAACTGGATTTGTAGTTGTGCTCATCACATGCATGAAGCTGAACTTCTATTTGACTTCAGTAAGAACCATATTAAAGTCTACATGTAGCACCACAATTATTTAAATGTTACTTTAATCTGGGATAAAAAGGGAAGCACTTGAACAATGCAATCCAGAGCACAGTTGGCATCTTTCTAAAGCCACTGAAATCAGTGATGGTGCAGCTTTTCTTAGGATTGCACTGTCAGTGTCCATCTGCAGTATATTCTGTCGCAACTGAAAATGGGGATGTATTTGATATACTGCATAATCTACATGAAAAATAATATTTCTGCCCTGTGTTCCATGTTTATTTTGAATTAATGCCAATGTAACTGTAGTGTAAGACAAACCAATTGTCTTTAAACAAAATTATTAGGTATGTAATCATAATATAGTGAGAAATGCGGGAGCGCGTGTGGGTTTTGTTTTTTAAAGATAGCATTAAAGTACCGTCCCTTTTCGGAAAAGTACTCATCAGAAGGCAAGCGGTGGCCATAATCAGAATCTTTCATTAACAAGGGCCATGGGCCAATGATTGATTTTATATATATATACTTACGTTATTTATAGTCCATCTTTCTCACTTGGACTCAAGGCAGATTACAAGGAGTGAGGCAATACAATCAACAGGATGGGGTATTCACTAAGCAGTACAATAGGATTAGAGTTGTAGAACCCATCAGAAATCTAAAAACGGAACTGAAGCAAAGCATAAGTCTTAATGTGACACGTTAAATGATGCAAACATTACCTTGTACGATATCAATTGTATTAACAGGAGTTGCACAGCAAAGCATTCTGATCAGTCCCCATCTGTTTGATTGTGATAATACTAGAGAACATCCTTGCCAACAGTATCCTTTTAAGGAACTGCAGTAACACCATGAATTCCATGCACTTCTGTTGCCTTAACTCAAAGACATAATTTGCCATCATTTAAAGATGAAAAGATATGTACCTGTGCCTCTTTTATAGCCCCCCCCCCCCAAGCTGGACAAAAGAGCACTGCAGGATTAGTACCGCTCTATCTCTGGTTCCAGCAGTACAGCCCCACAAAGACACCTTCTCTAATCATAAGAGAAAAATCATAATGGGGGCTATCATATCTCCTTCCCCAACCTTAAATGGACAAGAACAGGAGAGGGGATCTATTAACTTTTATACTACATTCTCAACAGGATTCCTGACGTGGTATACCGATTAAAATAGTTTAAGCAAGTAACTGTCAGTGAAATACAGTACAAACAATTTGACACCATACAGTAAAGCAGCTGCATAAAATTGTCAGTAGCGGAATAAGTAGCAGCATATATAAAAGAGTAAAAGCCGTGAAACTTGAGGGTGGAGACGGGCCAGCAGTTAACATAGGCCTGTGTGAAAAGAGATGGTTTCAGAGAAGGCATTTCATAGATAACTCTACAGGTCACTGACTGGATGATCTGTACACTGGAGGTGCAGAGAAGCTGGCAGGCAGCAAGGGGGAGTGGATAAATGGGCTGTTAGCTGCTTCATTACTTGTTGAAAGGTTGGCTTTAGGAATGACGGTGTCATGCTGGTAATTTGTGTTTGAGAGTGAGACATATCATCTTTTCATCTCAGTGTCCTACTGAGTACCAGGAAAGAATGGGTAGAAACATGGATGACTATGAAGACTTTGAAGAAAGGCCTAATGCTTATCCAACAGAGAAGAGTCTGGTCAAACTTCATAAGCAGGTAACCGGACAGGTTTATTGTCGTGGTAGATAGCATTGGTTTTGAACTATTCTTTTGAACTAAAAAGGTTCATTCGTACAACCCCCTTCACACGTTTTCCTAGTTATTAACTTGCTTTGACTGTAGAGTTTTCTGTACTCTTTCCAGAACAATATACTTTTTGTACTAGATGAGGTGAGCATCCGACCTATATAATTTTTATGAGACATTTTTAAAACGTGTGCTGTGCTGCAAACAGATGTGGTATAGCTCAGAACATGAAAATATTATACCCAAACGTTGGCAAAAAGGCAGAAGAAATATGAAATGAAAAAAGTGACAGTGGAAAACAAGTGCCTCTGGTTTTAATTATATGTTACAAACTCTACATTTGGGCGGAGAGCCAGTGTGGTATAGTGGTTAAGGGCGGCGGACTCAGCTCTGGAGAGACGGGTTTGATTCCCCACTCCTCCTTTACACGAAGCCTGCTGGGTGACCTTGGGCCAGTCACTGTTCTCTGAGAACTCTCTCAGCCCCACCTGCCTCACAAGCTGCCTGTTGTGGGGAGAGGAAAGGAAGGTGATTGTAAGATGCTTTGAGACTCCTTAGCTAGAAAAGAAAAGTAAAGGTAAAGGTTCCCTTGCTCGAAAGCCAGTCGAATCCGACTCTAGGGTTGCGGTGCTCATCTCCCGTTTCAAAGCCGAAGAGCCAGCGCTGTCCGAAGACGTTTCCGTTTCATAAGAGACCATAGGATCACTATCTATGGGGTTCCCCCCCTCTTTTTTTTTTTTGCATCAGTCCTCCTAACAGTTAAGTGGCTGGTCCCCATTGTGATCATGAAAACAGAAAAACCATTCCACAGATAGGGAAGTGTTGGTACATATCTGGCAGATTCCCCAGTGTACCACCCCCCGAAAAAAGACTTTGTAAATTACCCAAAGGAGGAAAAACCCAGAAAACAGCTTGATATACGCTGACTTTTTAAAAGGGGGCTCTGCATGTTAAGGGTAGCAGCTAAGTTAAAGAAGAAACAGGAGGTAGAGGAAATCAGCCTGTTCGGGTCCCAAAGACCTTATAAAATCCTATGGGGAGAGAGTTGGGGGGGGGAGGTTTCTTAATTGTCCCCTCACTAGACCCCAGCTTGTATTTGTAAGTGCACTCTTCTTTTAAAGGCAGTACTATCTCCAGCCATCATTTTATCTGAACAGTTTGTTGGTACGGCATATTTACCATTTCTGACCTCTCCATCTCCCCTTCCTCTGTTTTCATAAATAAGCAGAACACTGCTTTTGTTTCCTTAGGTAATTTATTCTGTTCAGAGGCATTGTCGTACGCAAGTCCAGTGGCGGATTCTTTTAGAGCAAGCCTTTTACCTGGAGGACGTGGCAAAAAATGAAACCAGTGCCACTCGTCAATTTGTCCATACTTTTCAGCCTCAGGAACCTGAAAACAAAGTTATCCAGTATCTCTATACGCCAACTGTTGGTATGTACTATAATCAGAGCCGGGCCGTTATTGTTAAAATTTTAGACTGTCACCTAGGGCGACGGCTTGACAAGGGCGCCATTCTGGCTAGCCTCATCCCTCCTCGCCCCGCACAGGAAGCAAGAGGCTCCCCTCTTTGCAGTCCCCCAGACAGAAAGAGGAGGCGGGGGGTGGATGACAGGCACGGGGAACAGCCCAGGATGACGGGAAAGTGCCACTTGCCCTCTGCCACCCCGCTCCTTTGGAGCTCCTTTTGCAGCCTGGCACAGGCTCCTTCCCCATCCCCTCGAGCGATCCCGCCCCCCGCATGCATTTGCAGCTCGCCCCCCTCGGCCCGCCCGCTGTGGATCGGGTGCCCCCCCCACCCCACATGGGGGGGCGCGCCAGAATGTATCCTCGCCTAGTGGGTGGGAAAACCTGGGGCCGTCACTGACTTTAATGCTGATCATGAAATACAGCCCCCTCCCATTACTAGGAAACTATTAGTAAATAAAGAACACTGTCCAGTGCACCACAAGCTCAGTGTCTGCACTCATGGAGGAATCATGTAGGTTCAGTGGAGCCTTGCCTCCCAACCCCCCAATCTATGGGTATTCCAGGGTGCAGGCAAACACTGTATAGAGAGCAGTTAGGGGAAATATATCATTGTGGGTGCCTCTGTCTGCTTCATGCAGTTACTGTTAAAAGGAAATGGACTTCAATGACTTCTGCATTTCCATCCTTCGCTGTCTTCTCATCTGATGACTTCTTTTCTAATCTGTGCGTAATTATCCTTTTCCAGAATGGTATTGGGAGTGCCTCCTGCAGCCGTGGTTTCACAGGATCCTCGCCATCGTTTTGGCCATCTTTTCTATCATTGTCGTGTGGTCAGAGTGCACGTTTTTTAGCACAAATCCCGTTTTGTCCCTGTTTGCCTGCTTCATACAGTTGGCGGAAAAGACTTACAACTATTTCTACATAGAGGTCAGTTTGATAAACACTTATTGTTACTTGAGACTTAGTTGTATAGGTTTTGATTATTGCCATTTCTCTGTACGTTGTTACCATCCAGTATTTATATAGTTGCATGCTTGTAAGTACTATATACAACTTTTCTTTAAAAATACAGATTTATTAGCTTTAATTCATTTTAGTTTAGTCAGACTGGGACGGACCATTTGCAGATTCATGACTTGCAATTTTACTTTTTCTCAGTTCAGTCATGTGACCTGGTAGCCAGCCTGTTTTCATTCCCACCATACCACCATCATAATCATTACGTTGTTAAATTTTGCAGGAAATTTGGTTGTTGTGCTACACAGCAGACCCCCAGGATTTCATTATTTTTGGTGGGCCTGGAAACAGATCCCTGTGAATGACAAGAATCTACTTTAGTGGTCCATTTAGCTGTCTAGATGGTGCAGTCCTTCAAAGTGTCAGCCAGTGGCTTTCTTTTTAAGTGGAGATGCCATTAATAAAACCTGGAATATTTCTTGCTGGCAAAGCGTATGCTCTGTTCTCTCATCATTATGCTTGAAGTTAATGCTACTGACCCGTGTTTAGTCCAGTGTGCTAAATATGTGCGTGCTTGTTTAGTTAGTCTGATTTCATACATTATAACACCTTTCTACAAAGCGTGAATGTGGTGGTGTGAAGTGTCGTCAAGTCACAGCTGCATAAACAATCGATAAAGGGTAATTAATTTCCTTAGTAACAAAGTAGCACTTATCTATGCACTTCAATGCAACCTGAATTTGCTTGTCTCTTTTTGTAGATGGCGTGCTTCTTCACCATCTTTTTCCTGAGTATCTGCGTTTACTCTACCGTCTTCAGGATTCGTGTATTTAACTATTACTATTTAGCATCACACCATCAGACAGACGCATACAGTTTGCTTTTCAGTGGCATGTGAGTAGTCAGCTAAGTTTGTTACTTGAATGTCTTAAATAGAGGTGATGCAAACACAGAAGCTCTTTAACCTATTTAGGTCTTGTTCGTAACACAGGTACACTCCAGAGTACCATACCTCTTTTATTTTTTTGCTGTCAAGTCAAAGCTGGCTTATGATGGACCCTGTGGAGTTTTCAGAGGTGGTTTTCCATTGCCTGGCTCTGCGTCATGACCCTGAACTCTCTTGGTGGTCTCCCATCCAAATACTCACCAGGTCTGACGCTGCTTAGCTTCCAAGATCTGATGAGGCTGGGCTAGCCTGGGCCATCCAGGTCAGGGTGTTCATAGCACTTTAGAGAGAGCTATAATACTATAGCTACTTTAGAGAGAGCTATAATACTATAGCTACTTTAGAGAGAGCTATAATACTATAGCTACTTTAGAGAGAGCTATAATACTATAGCTATTTTAGAGAGCTGAATTCAAGTCCAGTAACGTCATGAAGACTATCCAGATGTTCAGGGTATAAGCTTTCAAGAGTCAAAGTTCCATTCATCAAATACAGATACAAGTAGGATGAATGGAGCTTTGACTCTTGAAGGCTTATACCTCAAAAGTCGTGTTGGTTTCTAAGGCACCAATGGACTCGAGTCCAGCTGTTCTACTGCAGACCAACATGACCTACCCTCCTGAAACTATCTTGATTTTAGAGAGTCTTAATTCTCTTTTGGGTAGAGTATGGGAAAGAATAAATAGCGACCCTTACACAGGGAACAGTGCATGGTACAGGCAGCCAAAGAATCCCAGGGCGCAGTGCTCAGAGATGTAACAGCCAAGTTACAAGACTTCTTCATGATTCAAAATAAATAAAATCAAGGATCAAGTAAAACTGCACCAAAGGTGCAGTAAACAAAGCACATGTAGGCAACCAGTGTGTTTGGGGCATCATGATACATAGGCACATATTGTACTGTGTTTTGCTCCAGTTTCTGTGGAACTGTGGAAACCTTGCAACCCTGAAAGTTAAGATAGCTGGGCAGAAGGCAAATTATTTTGACTAGATCATTGGAAGGAACTCACGAAGCTGCCTTATACTTAAATGGGCCATTGGGCCATCAGGGTCGGTATTGTCTACTCAGACTGGCATCACTCTCTCATGTCTCAGACCGAGGTATTTCCCATCACCTACTAACCGATAGAGGTGTGCATTCGGATGCAGCCGAGCTGAAAATATCTTACCAGTATTTTTTGGGGAGGAATATTCAGCATCCCAAATATATCCAGGATTTTATTGGAAAACCAAATTCTGTATATTGCAACTGGTTGTGTTGGGCTTGGAAAAATACCCCTCACCTTCAGTTTGTACTGCAGAGACTGTCTGGTTTGACATTAGTCCTCTTTTGCCTGCACTGCCATGGTAGCACTGGTTCTGCTGGGCATTTTATACATTGCAACTGGTTCTGCTGGGCTTGAAAAAGTACCTGCCCCCACCTTCCATTTCCAGTGCAGAGATTCTCTAGTTTGATTTTGGTTCTGCTTGGCTTGGCGCATTGGCTTGTGGCTCTGCTGTGATTACTGATCTCTGCAATGGTTTTGTTGGACTTGCTGTTTGTTCTCAGTGATTGCAGCTTGCAGGGTTGATTTTGTTTTTTGTTTTTTCCTCCTTCATGGGAAATAATGGAGAATGGCTGGGGGCACCCTGTTCAGTGGCCCATAAAATTAGATCCCGTAGTCCAATCAACTTGAAACTTGGATTATTTAAAGAATAGGCACCAGCAGCTGTGCTGCAATTTTGGTGACTGTACCTTTTAAAAAAAAACACACACAGCCTCCCAGAAACCTTTAAAAGCAACTCCCCCAGCCATTTCCCATAGGGAATAATGGAAATTTTGGAAATCCAAAAAAAACAAAACCCACCCACGAATCCAAATACCAATGTACCCAAACCCAAGGGGAAATTTTTTTTGTGCACCCCTACTACCCGATCGTTTTAACTGGATATGCTGGCAATTGAATAAGGGACCTTCTGTACGCCAAGCAGATGTTCCACCACTGAACCATGGCCCCTCCTTTATAAGCCAAGTGACCCAGGGGTACCTCAATGAATTTTCTTCTCTGTTCACTACAAATATTACAATTAAATACACAATGACAGATATTCTCAGTATATGACCATGAGTTTATAGCTATGCAGCTGTTAGATTTTTGAAGTTCATGTGTAATTGGTTGATAATGACTCATTAATGTAGGAGGCAGAGAGGGTGCCAGAGGCAGAAGAAAATGGCTTCAGTTTTTTCTGCTACTTCCATGCAGGCTGTTTTGCCGTCTGACTCCTCCACTGTGTCTGAATTTCTTGGGCTTGACTCATATGGATTCATCAATTTCTCACCAAAACACCGAGCCAACTGCATATACATCTGTAAGTAAACGAGCACAATAAATTGTGCCCCAGTCTTCATAGCAGATGCTGAAACGCTTTTACAGGACATGTGTCTTTTTTTGCTGCTTCTTCAGCACAAATTCTAAATTGGTTTTGAAGTAGCATATGAAGTGTTTTGTCAGCAATGTTTCCATAAAATACTGATTTCACAAAAAATATTTCAAAGCTGGGTAATTGCAGTAGCATTCTAAATAGAATTTTCCATATTAAATTATCTTCACACATCAGGTTTTTGCCAGGACCATATGTTTTATTTGTTGTATTTCAGTACAAGGCCACGAAAGAGCTCTCTGTGGCCTGTTTGAATCTTTATTTGAAGCCATTATGCCAGGGGTGTCGAACTCATTTGTTATGAGGGCCGGATCTGACATAAATGAGACCTTGTTGGGCTGGGCCATGTGTGTCATAAAATGTAATGCCAGGTAGCGGACAATGCTCCCTCTAAGCTGTAGAGTCTTGTGAGCAAAAATTCTACTTTGCAAGCTACTGGCATGAAAGTTGTGAGCAAGTGATTTGTCTACTGCATAAATTAGTTAGCTCTGGAGCCATCCTTCCTGAGCTAAAACAAAAATGTGTGAGCTGGAGGCTAGAAAACTGTGAGCTAGCTCACACTAACTCAGCTTAGAGGGAACATTGGCGGAGATATAAACTTTATAAAGGACACAAACACAAAGGTTTTTTTTACTTAAAATAAAAAAACACTTAAAGCATTAGGACTCCTGCAATATTTTGTTTATTTAACAGTGTCTGATAACTGACAGCTCTTGCTCTGAATGATTGCATCAAAATGTCTGTGCTGTTGCAGTCTTGAGTATGCTGTTCAGGTGTGTATCTGTAAGCTGTAAACCTATGATGACACAGCAGCAGCAGAACTGGAAGAAGAAGCAGAAGACAGCCAGTTCCACTGTGGGCCTGATAGAAGCCCTCCGGGGGGCGCATGTTTGACACCCCTGTATTATGCTGTTGTATTATATATCTAGCCTGGCTGTAGGTTAATAACTTGCGTTACTATAGAATTATTCCACACCCATTTACCTTAGCTGTTAAAACAACGTATTCAAGAGCTGTCAGGAACATTTGGCTTTTGAAAATGTACATGGAAGATTATTTCCCACTTTTAGTGTACCCACCAAGCCTGTGTCTCAGAGGGCATTCACAGCAGATCAGGTCTTAACACTGAAATATGTGTTACCAAAGTGACCTGTTGCATCCGATCAAAGAGCAGCTTCTTAAACTGTACAATGTCGAGTCACTGCCAGTTGATCAGCAGGTGGCAGCACAGAGCTAGTTTTGGTCTTTCAGTTCAAATATGTAAGGAACTACTTTGAGGTTTTTCTTCAAATTTGACTCACAGTTTAGTATCAGACAAGGTGTATCTCTTCTTGTAACTGACTGCTCTATTATAAACCGATTAAGAGCTAGACAAAGTAATATGCTGAATAAGCAATACTTGATCGTTACCTGTTGCAGATTACAACCCAGTTTCATCGAGTATTAGGAACTGTCCACACTACCCAGGCAGATGAATTCTGCAGTAATACAGTTTGCACTATCTTGAAGTTGTAACAAGAAAATCATATCAGCAGTAATCATAATCAGACTAGAAAAATCTTAAAAACGAAAACAAGGCCATGCTAACCTCTGTTGTTTTTTACTGCCTTCTTCCTCCCTAGATTATGGGATCAATGAAAGTATTATCCTTCGTTGCAGATGGGTTTTATATCTATTATCCCATGTTGGTTGTAATTCTCTGTATTGCCACTTACTTCAGGTAAGTAGCTGGTAAGCTGGATGTATTTTGTTTGCTTAGACATTGATTATGCCACTACTGCTATGTGCTTCTCCATTCTCAGCATCCTACAAGACGGGACATATCAGGATGGATGCAGCCATCTTCTAGGTAGCCATCCTGTAGCCTAAGGAGCCTTCTGCCAACTTGTGGCTCTTCCTCCAGTGAAGCAGCCACTTAATTTGGAGGAAGGTTGCTTAGATTGTAGGAGGGCTTCAGACTTGAGCCCAAATGAAATGTGATGTGTAAATTAATCAACTTTGCCAGTGGAGTGGTAGGATAGGGGTAGGAGCCACCCCATCTTTTCTTTGATGTACTGCTTTGGTGCAAGTTGAGTCACCTGTGATTCTTTAATTTTTCTAACATTGCTTTTAGTTTGCAGTGGATTTGCATGTTTGGTATAGAAGCGTCAGTGTTCCCCAACAGAAAAGGTCTCTTGAATTTATGATGTGGCAGAAAGGGGGTGCAAAACAAGGTTGCACCGAGTGAGTTACTACGTTCAACTGGTACCACAAAAATCTAGAGCTTATTTAAATCCTCTTTCATCACATGCCTGGTTTGTGTCCTCTGAAAAGTGCTTCTAACCAGTTGCAATACACAGTGCTGTTTTAAAGGATAGAACGGTGGAGAAGAGAGTGATGTAAGCCACTTTGGGTCCCCACTGAGGAGAAAGGCGGGGTGTAAATGAAATAAATAAATAGATATGTAAAAGATCATTGATGTGTACCTTTTAGTTGCAGTAAATACACACAGAGTGTTGGACTGGATGGGTCTTTGGCCTGATCCAACATTGGCGTCTCTTATGTTCTTAGTATTTCTCATATGTCCTTAGTAATCCTTTTAAGATTTCAACTTTCATGTTTTAGTTTTTAACTTAGCTGGCTTTTTACTGAATAATTATGTTATCAGAAGTAGCCATTGTCCCATTCAGCCTGTGTTTTTATTTAACTTGAACAAGTTATTTCCTTTTTCAGAGGCACTCAAATACTCTCGCGACTTTCAAGTTGCACCTTAGAGATACCTCTCCCTCCATCAGCTTTAACTCTGAAAAGCTGATACCATGAAGCTCTTGTCGGTCCCTAAGGCGCTACTGGACTCTAGCTCATCTGCTGCAGACCAGTGTGGCTGTCCTCTTGAAACTCTCACAGGACCCTCTCAGTCAAGATCCAGAGGAGGCCCTGGGTTCACACCTACTCCACTATCAAGAGACAACTGAATCTGACCATGGAGTCTCCCAGGCAGTCACCGTGTTCTTTTGGTAGCAAAGAGAGCGGAGAAAGGGCAGGAGAGAGAGAGAGCTCAGGTACTCATTTGCATATTTAACGACACACCCCTAATGTAGCCAATCCTCCAAGAGCTTACAGTAACTCCTGTAAGAAGAGCTCTGTAAGCTCTTGGAGGATTGGCTACATTAGGGGGTGTGGCCTAATATGCAAATGAGTTCCTGCTACAAAAAGAGCCCAGGAGGGTATGTGGCAGAGTCAGCTTTGATGTAAAAAACGCTGGGCCTTTCCCCCCCCCCCCCCCCCCCCAGCAATAAGAACATTTTTGCAATTTATTTTACCAGTTTAGGTACTCGGTGTTTGAATCTTCTGGGGTTCCAACAGTTCATGGGAGACAATGAGATGACGTCCGACTTAATAGATGAAGGAAAAGAATTAATCAGAAGAGGTAACATGCATTTTTTTTACATACTTTGCTTTGCAATACGTTCTAACTTAATTTAGTACAAAGACACCAAACCCTTAAGTTACAGTTCCTCATTGCTTTTCCCCCTTGAGTTCCCTTCTTAGAGGCACTTGGTCTCAAAAAGTAATCAACTGGACATTCCTGAAAAACTCACAAGCAGAGTATGATAGAGACAGACATCCCATCTGACTTTTAGCCAGCACTATCTGCCAACCTAGCAGTTCGAAAGCAAGAAATTGCAAGTAGATAAATAGGTACCACTTCGGTGGGAAGGTAACAGCGTTCCGTGCGCCTTGATGTTTAGTCATGCTGGCCACATGACCACAGAAACGTCTTCGGACAGCGCTGGCTCTTCGGCTTTGAAACGGAGATGAGCACCGCAACCCTAGAGTCGGATTCGACTGGCTTTCGAGCAAGGGAAACCTTTACCTTATCTGCCAATCAGTGATATATGCCTCTGAACACCAGGGGCTGCTCTGAGAATATATATCTAATCTATTTTAAAGGTAGCTGAGTTGCGTCTTGCAAATGTGTAAGAACCCAGGCCCTTGTCAAAAATGCTGCTGCTACATATATATTCTTAAGTGTAAGGATATGCCACTGGCTATCAAGATCAAGTTAATTCATGCCACAGTATTCCCCATTGCTATGTATGGGTGTGAAAGTTAGAAAGCTAAAAGGAAGAAAGTTGATTCATTTGAAATGTGGTGTTGGAGGAGCGTTTTAAGGACCACATGGACCACCAAAAGGACAAATCAGTGGGTTCTAGATCAAATGAAGCCTGAACGCTCCCTTGGAGCTAAAATGACTAAACTGAGGTCCTATTATGAGAAGACAAGAGTCACCGGGAAAGACAATAACGCTAGGAAAAGTGGAATGCAGCAGGAAAAGAGGAAGACCCAAGATGAGATGGATGGACTCCAGCAAGGAAGCCACAAAGAACCCCAGTTTGCAAGATCTGAGCAAGGCTGTTAACGATGGGACATTTTGGAGGACATTGATTCATAGGGTCACCATAAGTTGGAAGCAACTTGACAGCACTTCACACACACACACGCACACATTTCTGTCCCGTTGTACTGTGACTTTTGCCTTTTCTGTGTATCGTATGCCTGCAGCTGCACTGAATGCATTCCCTGCTGCAGTTGTACTAGTGCTCTTGTAGCTGTTTTACGATGCTTTAATTCAGAAATATTCATCCCCCATCACACTTCTCTAGGTATTTAGACTCTTCCATCTACATAATCCAGTTTCCAGATTGTGCTGCTACATTTAAAAAAAATGGCTTAGTTAATAATTCATGCTTAGCTCAGTGTAAATTCAAATACATGTTTTTATCTCCTTAGAAAAAAGAAGACGGCAAAGGCAGGAAGAAGGTGAAAACAGAAGAAGAGTAAGTGGACCAGACAATATATTTTCCCTAAGTCCACAGAAGTTAAGAAATTAAGTTTGAACTTAAGTCTTCCATTGCTATTTGAGAGAGCTTTAGTTATTTACGGTACAGTGTAATCCAGTCCTGTACAGAATTAGGTATACGTAATCTTATTGAAATCACTGGGGTCCTGGATGCCTAACTCTGTATAGAATTGCAGCCATAATCGCATTATTTAGGACAGTGTTAGTTATTTGCCAAAGCTTTTTTGTTTTTGAAAAATGAACTTTGTTTACTGTTTCTCTGGCTTAAAATGAGAGGGAGCCTTACATTTCATTAACTGAAAGGGTGTCCTGCAGAATTCCACCATGTGGCCATTTATAACTTACCAGTGTCTTCCAAGGAAACAAACTGTAAATTCTAAAAAGCAATAGGTAGCTCTACAGCCTTCTGTGATACCAGCTGTTCCCCACCCCCCAGCTGCTATTCCCCCAAGTTCTAGTAAGAGGTTAATAGCGCAATCTTAAACCCCGCTGAATAGGCCTGACTAGGATTCTGCGTAAGCCTGTTTAGGATGGCACTCTTACAGACCTAAGCTTATTGGTTTTGTTCTTTTCTTTTTTTACTGGAGTTGATTTCAGAATACTGGAGCATAATGCCTTTATACTGTTGGATCGATATTCTAGTCATGTTTTTTTTTAAGTGTTATGGGGTTGTTCTTTAACATGCAAACTGTACATGTGTGTGTTTGTTTTTGGTCAGGAGTGGAAAGAACGATATGGAAACAACCGGGAAGATTCTGCCAGAAACAGAAATGTTCAAGCAGACCAAAAAGAGTCTAGCTTCACAGAAACTAATACAAATAGATGTAAGTATTCTCTGCTTTGACTACGGCTAAAATGCAAACTGCACTGCTGTCCTTTATTTTTTAATTGATTTATTTTCAGCCATCACAGTATATCAGCCTACTGGATATGTTCTGAGCCAAATTGTTGCCACTGAAGTATTGTTTACTGTTCTTTCACTCTGCCAAATGACTTATTCTCTTTCTGAAGGCAAGAATGGTCCACTAGTCCAGCACTGAGGATCTCGTTATGTTGTTAATTTCAGTTATAACCTGCCTTTCTCACAGAGTCTCAGGGTGGATTTAAAAACACAAGAAGCTGTTCAGACAGCAAGGGTGTCCACTAGGATTACTAGATAACTAGATAACTAGGATTACAGAATCGGAAAAACAGTGCAAATGAAAAACTGCCTAAGGCATGACATACCTTAATGAACAAAGAGAGAAGATATCGCAGTAAAAAAAGAAGAGGTGGTATGTACAATTTCAGTAGATTACAATACTATTCCTTATAGAAGCAGCCTCCTTGTGCTGTTCTAGTAAATATCTCAAGATCACAGCCAGTTTTCATATTCTGGCTGCAGCCCTTCCGTCAGTTGTTCATGGGTTAGTGCTAGGGTTGCCAGCATTCTGGAGGGGAAAAATATCCTGCCCCCTTAAGAGAGGCTTAATGGGATGTTATTTGCCAGCTGTTGTTATTTACCTCCATGCCATTAAAACCTTCACCTGTCCATTTCCACACATTAAGCCTTTTTTTTAAAAGGGCAGGACATTTTTTCACCCTCCAGGTTCCTGGCAACCTAGTTTATCTCAGTGGGTCCTATGCACAAATACCTGCAAGAGGACTTTCCCAAAATGAAAGTGGTTCATAAAATGTGCACATTCATGAACCTGATGGATGCTAACCCATATCGAGTGGACACATTATATTAATTTTGGAATGCTAATCCATTGTGGTTGGGAAGAACAGCTATGTTTGACCCCTGACAGTCATTGCTACGGAATTTGGCAGTCATGAAGAGCTCTGGGAAACCTAACAATTTCAGGCTTTTATCTTCTTGTTGCTTGTGATACTAGAACTCAAGGGCATCCAATGAAACTGATGGGCAGTAGGTTCAGGATGGACAAAAGGAAGAAATACTACTTTACACAGAGAGCAAAATGTGGAATTCGCTGCCAGAGGATGTAGTGATGGCCCCGGGAATAAACAACTTTAGAAAGGGGATTAGATAGATTCATGGAGGATAAGTCTATCAGCGGCGACTGAGGGGAACCTCCACACTCAGAGGCACTAAGCTTCTGAATCCCAGAGCCAGGAAGCAACATCAGGGGAAGGCCTCGGCCCTCTATGCCCTGTTGTTGGCCATCCAGAGGAACTGGTTGGCTACTGTGTGAGACAGGATGCTGGACTAGATGGATCACGGGTCTTCTTATGTTCTTATACTCTAGCAATCATTGATGACATTTCAAAACTTGTTTCCATAATCTATGGGGCTTCTTATCTTGTAAACAAAAGCTGAGGTCTTCAGGGCATCTTTTAAAAAAATATGGCTTGGATTCAGCTGTTCTTCTCCGGCCCCCTGGCCCATTGCAAAGCAGCATGTCTCCCTTTAGCAGGGGCTAGGTAAGGGTCTGTGTTAGCAGGTACCCCATGTACTGCTGTGTACTCAAACTCACATTTTGATTAAATAGTTATAGAAACAAGCATGAGGTGAAATATGCTCATATTGGTAGAGGTTCAGTGTTTGTTTTTTACTATGAATGGGCATGAACTGGGAAAAAGCCATTCAGTTCATGGTTCATGGCCCCGCAAACCCCATTGAAAGGGACCGCAGTTCCTTTACACGGGGTTTGCAGAAAGCCGAAGAAAAAGCTGAGTGACGGGGAGCAGCTTGCTCCCCACCGCTCAGCTGTTTTTGCCGCTTTCATGGGGAACAGAAAGCAGGAGTTTAAAGTCCATTTAAACCCCTGCTTTCTGCTCCATCCATGAACTGCCACGAACCGCATGAACTGCTCTAAAGATTTCTGGGACTTTGTGACGGTACACCTGTCACAAACTTCTGTCTGTGAACCACGAACAGAGCAAAATTCATAATGAGTTTTGCCATGTGGTTTTGTCCATCCCTATTTTTTACCTTGGAGAGAGACCAAAGAAATGAAATTTCCAGAATTCACAAATGGTGGCTTTTGTCAAAGCAGAAAACAGTGCTTCCTGAAATGAACAAAGAGAATGGAGTCAGTTACTAGTTTTTCCACTCCCATTTTTGCAGTTACCTTGCGGTGGAAACCCATGTTGAACCCATTCAAGGTGTGTTGAGAGGGAGACTGAAAAGTTCTCAGCTTAAGTACCAATGAAACATTTCTTAGGCAGAAAACTTCTCAGATGTTTGATGTAATCTAATGTGAGGCTTTCAGAGTAACCAAGTATTCTTCCTCCTTATCTCTATATTGATCAAGTCATCATCTTCTAACTGTAGGGCAAAATCTAACATAACAATTTGTTCTTTGTGTTGAATTGTACGTGGAAAACTTGGTGTCCCCTTTGCTACAGCCCCATAACCTGTTCTGCAAAAGCTGTGTAAATTTCTTTTTCTTGAGAATTCTGTGGAACAAAACATATCTAACAATCTTTAATTAAAAGTTTTGGTCTCGCAGGCCCAATTTTTTATTCTCAACAAACATGTTTCTATCAACATACAAGTCCCAAAATTTTAATTTAAGATTGTTATGACGCCAGCTGTAAAAGCTTCTGATGAAAGAAAACATATCTAAATCTGTGGCCAGTAGGAGAGGATAGGCAACCTGCCAAAGTAGGAACAAGAAATTGCAAACTTGCTCTTGGTCAAAAACATTTTAACCATCGGAACCAGCATTTTGTGGGATTCCAGCATGAGTCTTGCCTCTGTGACTCCTGTTAGTTTGGTATATGTTTAAACTTGTCCAATATAAGTATCTTATTTCAGGCAGTTCTAATCAAGAGAGAGTCAGTCTCTGGCATGCTTTTCTTGCTTATTTGTCTGAAACACTGTAAAAAATACTTTTTTGTTACAGCAGTTTCGTCTAAGTACACCAGAGCAAATGGGAGGAATGAAAGAGATAGAATTGAGCTGCTGCAGGATGCAGAACCCTTGGATTTCAATGCTGATACAGTCAGCGAAGATCCTCTTGACTCAGACTCAGGAAGGTAAGGAACATCTAGAGTTCAAAATGTAATTGGAGGAGGCAGGGGTGAGTGCAGAAATCTGCAGTAAGTGAAAAGGAGGCATGAATCCATAAACAACTATTCCCCCTGCCCATCAGGAATAAATTCCATTAAGTGAGCCTGGTGCATAAAGGAAAATATCTGCATGCCACAAAGGTGCAGCAGTGCAGTAGGTGTTATGCATGCAGAAGGAAGCGTGACCTCACACCCACAACAGTGCATGGCTAACCAACGTCTGGAACCTATCGTGAAAGGCCAGGCGTAGGGGGAAACAGTACAGAATTTTTTTTAAATTGCATTGAGCTGGCTTGCATGAGCCTATGCAGCTATTTGGATTACAGTCATAACGTTACCGTGAAGTCCTACACTGTGTACAAGCGAGAGATAGGGCACACAGTATCAAGACTGGCTGGACGAATGAAACTGCTGTGACTTGTTGGATAACACTTTTGCTGTTGTAAGACTAATTCTTCCATTTTAATGACTTTACCAAACACTTTTAGAAATGATAGCTGTTCTAGGATTGGATCCAGAGGAGTTAGCCGTGTTAGTCTGTTGCTGCAAAATAGTAAAAAGCCCAATAGCATTTTTCAGACTAACAAATGTTATTGTCGCATAAGCTTTCAAGAAACACAGTGTTTCTTGACTCTTTAGCATCAGTTTTCAGTTAACATCTGCCTAAAACGTTATTTTATATAATGTTATGTTATATTATGAGCTGCGGTGGCTCAAGTGGTTAAGACGCTGAACTGCAGGCTGTGGAAGGTCAGTAGTTCAGCAGTTCGAGACCCGGGTGCCGCATGATGGAGTGAGCTCCCATCTCTAGTTCCAGCTCCTGCCAACCTAGCAGTTCGAAAGCAAGAAATTGCAAGTAGATAAATAGGTACCGCTTCGGTGGGAAGGTAACAGCGTTCTGTGCGCCTTGGTGTTTAGTCATGCCGGCCACATGACCACGGAAACGTCTTCGGACAGCGCTGGCTCTTCGGCTTTGAAACGGAGATGAGCACCGCAACCCTAGAGTCGGACTCAACTGGCTTTCGAGCAAGGGAAACCTTTACCTTTAAAACCTTATTTTACACTATTTTATATTCAATCCCCTGGATTTAGTTTTTAATGGGTGATTATGATCCTTAATTCTCTGTGGACATAGCATAATAAATAGCCACCTTTTGTTGCTCTACTAAGTCTGAATTTTCCTGTTTACACAAAATACTCATCTGGACTTTCTCCTCTGGAGTTAAAAAATGCAGCAGTATACTTTACAAACATCAGTCCCCTTCTCTAGAAATGACTCGTGAGAGGCCATTCCCAGCATCTATGAAAAGGCAAGCTGTTCACAGGATATGGTGGCCATTCATTTATATCGGGGAAACCTGCACCCCACCATTGGAAATAAAATCTGCTTCGGTCTGCATAGACTCACTGTGACTTCTGTTTCTTGGTCATGCCAGAGTGTGACAGACTGTTAAGAACTGGCATATGGAGAGGGAGATAAATTGGGGGCTCAGCCATTGGGAACCCCACCACCCCACTTTTCTGCCAGTGTCATAATATAAGGTCTTGGGGTTTGAACGTCATTTTCCTAGGTTCTTTCTAGGTCCCGTCCCCCATCCCCCCCCCATTTACCCATGTCAGCTGCTCAGTCTCAGGCAGGGAGGGTTTTATTTTTGTGGGGAGGAGGGTTAAAATTTTACAAGTAACATTTGTCTTTGGGTAGTCCTGATCTACTACGCTACTTTATAGCTACGTGGCCAGCAAGCTTGCTGTTGAAAGGAACAGAATTAGTGCCTGTGAGGAATTCAAGGCAGAAGAGAGAGCAGATTAAACTGGGAAGTCCAAACACTTAAAAATAAATCACCCACTCCCAGCTCAGGAGCCGGAGATGACCAATTTCCACATTTTCCTTTCTCATTAACTGACTCAGCTGCGTTCTCTTGTGCCTCCTGGAGCGTGCTTAGCATGCAACAATCTGTTTTGTGTGTGTTTATTTTTCTTTGGGTTTCATGGCAAAGATTTGCCAGGGGTAGAGGGGTTGCGTGCCTCATACCCGGACTATGTGTGACCTGGTTTTGCTGGCATGAGCTACCCACTTTACTGTTAAATGTGGTAAGATGACATAAATTTTAACAACCCACTAGAAGAGGGGTTTTTACCTCCAATATTTTTCTGCCTTGTCTTCCTTGAGTTGTAACCAACACATTTTGAAGCAAGCAGATGGGATACATAGACAGTGTAGTAAGTTATCATTACTGGCTATGTAATAGTTTACAGTTTTGATATCAATCAGCTGTTTTTTAGCATCCGAAGAAATGAGACAGCCTGAACTTGTTGGGTGTATTTAAAAAAAAAAAAAATAGAGTAGATCTTACTAAATGCATAAAGTAGCCTGGGACCCTTCAAGGTCAGAATCCTTATATTCTGAATGTCACCTTGAATCTTCTGCTGTTTGGCCACTTAAAGTATAGAGTAGAATTTTGATGACAGTAGACTTGTGACTCAGCTTGTGTGAGATCTCTTTGGTTGTTGGTTGTTCTGAAGGTTATGTAACTTGCAACTCTCGGTTTAAATTACATAGAACGTTCTTGTACCCTCCAGGTATCAGCCAGGTGGAAGATATTTGTCCATGTCGCGAAGCCGAATATTTGATGATGTCTAAGGCCATGGAACCCTTGAGTCCCACATCCATTGCTTTGGGGAATGCTCTTTTTCAGTAACATATCCTGCAAAACCAAAACAACCTCTCAAAAAATGAATGGTGGGGAATGAAGGAACTTTATTTCTTAGAAATGCACTTTGTGTAACGAGTTGCCCGATTTGTGATGGCCCAAACGCTGGTCTCTGAAACTGGGGCCACCTCAGCAGTGCCTTTCCATTGTTTTCCGCTCAGTTCAATAACCCACCCCGTTGCTGCTGTCATGAGACAATAGTTGTGTGAGCTGTAGATAGATGCAAAGGAAAAGAAGGAATGGTGTGGTATTAAAGGGAGTCTGTGGAAAGAAGGGATGGGGCGGAGAGAAATAGGATGGTTTGGTGGCAGGGAGCCCTGGGTCCTTGGCCCTGGTGTTGCTATTATCTTGGCGTCTCCTTTTGAACTGAAGATCTCTCAGAAAGGACTGAGAATCCCTTGCTACAGTTCACTTGTGTGCTGGCAGCCATGGCGTGATATGTAAAAGACAGTCAGAATCTCACCGCTTTAGATTTGGATCAGGGAAACAGTTCTAAATTAAAGTTTGATGTTTTGTTTTAAAATAATCCAGTCCAGAGCTCAAACTGAGCAGTCATACTTCCGAGATTTGGGTTTTCCATTTTTTTCCTGGAGGATTCTTGATTTTTTTATAAGATAATCTGTAGTCTAATATAGTCATGTCATCAGTTCTAATACACTACAGTTCATCAGGTTATTATATTTCAGTGAAAGTTTGCAGACAGCCTTCTGTACAGACTTTGGGCGTGGTTGAGAAAACTGAGCTCTGGTTAGGTCGTAGGCTGGTCTTTGGCTTACTGGGCTCCGGTCAAGTCATAGGGTGGCCTTTGGCTCACGTTCTTGAAGAGCCGGAGAGACTGAAGGACAGATCTGCACAAAATAATTCAGCATAATCTGAAATGCCTGCACGTCAGTCACCAGAACTGAGAATGATTCTTTATCAACGTTACATGCTTATGAATGGTGTTCGTGTACATGGGCACAACAGCCTAGCAGAGTCGTAAACAGTTACTGGTACTGTTTTATAATTTATACTTGTACACAGCTAGCATGTGTTCAATGAAATCCACCGCATATTTGAGACCTTATATAGCAGCTGCTATTGGAGAATCTTTGGGCTAAACCACATATAGCAAGTCTGTTTACAAAGCTTAAGTCGTCACTGCAGGATTTCATCTCTTCAGAAATACTGTACAGTTCAAATAGTTCTTGTGACGTGTGAAACTCAGCTTTCCCTTTTCAATAACTGGATTTTTGTAGTGCGATCCAGGCTGCACCACGATTTTATTGCCTTTCCCAAGACATCTGCATTTTGATGGTGCCTTTGCGTTTTATAGCCATGATCGGTTTTCACTGCGAAAGAATAAATGCTTTGTGTTTCAGATAGGACATTCAAAAAACAGTAGTCCGCAAGCAGTGCAGACAAAAACATTTTTCTTAACTACCGTCATCAGTACTAGGTGGAAATATGCGCTGTGTTTATGGGTCCCATGAAGTCTCAGATAAGATCAAAAAGCAAATACATGAACTGGAGAAAAGTGTGTTTTGTTCTTTGTCTCCAAGCCCTAAATCAACACTACGTAAAAGAAGGATAGTGGGTAGGCTCATACAAAGGCCTAAATATGTCCTCCGCCCTGTTTCATATATGAGAAAGAGCTGCCTGATCCATTGTGAATTTCTTGGATGTTTTAAGAAAAAACAGGCAATATGAGCGCATTAGACACTAAATAATAAGGCTCGCAGTCTTGTATGCAGGCTGGTTTCTGCCGGGTCATTTGGGTCGAAGCAGCATAAATTCTGCACAAGACTTGCAGCCCTGGAGTTTTACGATACATGGTGAGAAACACAGACCTGCCATTAAATTCTCTTTCCTGATCTTCCTCAAAATGTCTAGCGCAGCACTGAGCGAAGGTATGAGATCCCCCTTCTGTGCGTTGAGCTGCTCCTGGTTTGCATTGTTGGCCGCCAGGCAGAGCAGGGCAGTGCGAAGGGGCAGGGATGTCATGTTACGCATCATGTCTACCTAGGGCAATTTCGCACTAGAGCTGCCTCACTGCGGAGGAAATCAGGCGAAGCCGCGGGTCAAATGCAGCCCCGCAGCCTCGGGTGTGAAATTGACAAATAGTGTCGGGGCAAACAGTGGCTGCGCCGCGAGGCAGCTCTAGTGCGAAATTGCCCCTAGAGTTGAGGAGGAGGAATGGAGGGAGACCGAACAGCAGCAGGCCTGCCTCTCTCTTATAATGTCTAGTTAAAGCCTTTTAGCCTTCCTCTTTGGGAAAAATCAGTGTCTGACGTGATTCATGGTAGCTTCAGTGAAGTGTAATTTAAGTAGCACAGATGTCGAAAGTGGATGGTACAATTACGTTACCTGTCTTAACAAAGATTTGTGATACAGCTGTCATGGATGCATGAATTCTGATCCCCGTACCTGTTTATACAGGTGCCTGAATAAATGTGAGATTGAGCTAATACTGAACCCCAGTGCATGCACATCTTGGAAATCAGACCCCCCAAGTATATTTTATATGCTGATATCATCTCTTAAAAATGTAGTTTCTGTGATGGCGGGAACAAAAATCTAGAGCGCTTAGCAAGACATAATTATACAAAACTGTCAGCAAATGTTCACTTTAGAAAGGATTTACAAACGACAACTGTTGGGAGTTATTGACATGTTTTTTTAATAACAAGTAGCTCAATAGAGTTGACTAGTGGCTAGCAAATGTTTGGGGAATTCATGAAATTTGTGCCTGTTTCTATATAGTCTTTACGTCATACCTTGTGTATCGGAAAGCCTTCTGAAGCATTTGTGTGTTTAAACTTGCCATTTCTATTCCCATCATGGTAAGAAAAGTTACTTTTAGAAATATCTAAGAGAACCATGGAGTCTACTATGGGTTTTTAAAATTTACCCACAGAGATTTGATTTTAATTTAACTTGCTGCTTTTTATTGGTGGAAATTTTGTTACAAGAGAAATAAAGCCTACGGCAAGACTACTACTGAAGACTCACTTGATTTCCAAGGATATTGGCTGGATCACGGATTTAGCAGCTCAGCTCTCCTTTTATGAAAGATAAGTGGAGAGTTCATTTGTGACTTAGGCCCTCCTGAAGCTGGTTGCAGTGGGGTGTTTCAGAATGATCTTCAGAATGAGTAGAGGTGCATTGGCATTATGACAGTGTGCCGTGGCTTCACTGGAAATAGCCTTTCGGAAAAAGCACTCGCACATTACTAATCCTCTAAGCCGCCACCATGTCTGAGGACTCTGGGGTGATTTTTCGAAAACGAGGCCGTGGGGCTAATTGGCTGCCAGTGCAAGGATTGAATCCCCAGAGACTGAAATGCACAATGCTGATGTCGCTAGCAGTGTCTTACTTTCTTACATACTACTGTAAAACAGCAAACCAAAACAGAAGTACTGGCCATGATATTGCTTCTGCAGTACAGCTTTACTACCGTGTTGGTGGCACAATGGCTCACTGAAGCAGATAGTGGACAACAGTGTAGCTTTTTACTTTGTAAAGTACTACCAGTCCTGGGATGCCACTGTATTAATGGTTGCTTAGTGTTGTATGCATTTGTGATGCTTACCGGATAGTTTTTAATTCATAACAGTTTTCTAGTAAAAGTTAGCACTTTTTGTTTCAGGATATTGGGTTTCATCACCAGTTTGTAAGAATACCATTCGCTTAGCGGTTGTTAACCACGCAAAGCCTTGGTTTATGCCACTGATTTCCACTGGTGATTTATTCCTCCGCTGATGCTGTCGCATTAAGAACAACAGAGAATAATTTGTTTTGTCAGCTATGTTGGGTTTTGGAGTCATGAACAGCGAGATGTATATTTACTGCCCGGATGTATATTTTACTGCCTGGACGTGATTGTAATTTATATCTAACACGGGGATATACAAATTGTAGTGTTATATAACAGAATTATATTTTAACTTATTAGTTGGAATTAAAATGAACTTTGTATTACATTTGTCCGACCATCAGTATTCACTCTGCAATTGTGAAATATTGAAGAGGGTGGAATATGGATAATCCTGTTAAATACGAACAGTTTCACCATGCTATGAAGAAGGGTGTTTTTGGAGAGAATTCATTCAGATTTTTAAACAAAAATTTGAACGATGCTGTTTCATTGAGGCAAGGCTAGTTAGTATAAATACAACTCTGTCCTACTCACACTGCTAATTTCAAGTTTTACCTCTTTTATAAAGCAAGAGCTGTACTGGGGGATGTTTCTGTACATTAGAAATAGGTTTGTCAGTTTCTAAATGAGAGGAATTTCCCCTTGAATATTAGCATGCCGTATAGTGCCATCCTAAACAGAGGTACCCCCTTTCTAAGCAGATTTACTTCAGTGGACTTTAAAAGGTGCAGTTTTTCTTAGGATGGCTTTGGTATGCCATTGAAGTTACTAATGGGAGTGGCTGGAATGAAGCTTGTTTTCCGTATGACTAGAAATGCCAGATGAAGTTATATGCTGCTATACTTTATACTGTCAAAGAAAACTAAATTGAATGTCATTTGCGGACTGAGTTTAATCAAATATACCGGTAAATTAAGAGCATTGTAAATATCGTTGAAGGTGTTTCCTGGTCTCTCCTAACTAAAAAGCTAAGATACACTAATATCAAAGCAGATAGAATTCTGAGGAGAAGTAATCTTCAGCTGTGTGGTCACACACACTAAATAATCCACTTTCAGTGCACTTTCCAACTGGATTTTTACTGTGTGCACTGGCAAAATCCAATTTGAAAGTGGATTATTTAGCGTGTGTGACCGCAGCCTTCATTTAATTTTTTCCACGAATTTGACCATTATGCACATATGCCTGAATGGTCAGATTCCTGAGACCCATTTTCCTGTTGATTCTCACTCTGTTTTTTAAGTGCTGATAAAAATCCAAGAAAGTAATGTGTGTGTGTGTGTTTCAGACAGTATTTCTTGTATCAGTCCATTGTACTGAGATTGTCAAAAGCCCTTCTTCCGCATGTTGCTTGGCAGCAATACTGCACTCTGGCATTCCTATCGGTGCATCTCTTCCTCCCTCTTGATATCAGCCAAATACATACCTTAAATAATTCAATTTCTTTCAGTTCCTTAACTGGGGCAAGAGTATTAGTTTCTTTTGCTGAATTTATTTCATGGGGTTTGTTCACACACTACAGTATTGCAGGGTAAGAAAAACACTGACCGCTGCACCCATTGCCACCAAGACATATATTGAAGTGGGGGGGGACGGGACGGTGCACTTGGTTTCAGGACACTTTTAACCCAAGGAGTCTTATGATCATTCATGACTGGAAAC